GGCGCAGACGTGGCTGCACACTGGCTCTGTGTAGCCGCGACACGGCGGCCAGACTTGCATCTTTCCTGGAGAGACCTCTGGGTACTTCCACAAGAACCCATCTCAAAAGGACACCATGTCCTCCTCCCATTTCACAGATGAGGAAATCGAGGCCCAGAGAGGGAAAGTAGAGTGGTGGGCATAGGGGCATAAAAGGAGGGAGAGGAGGCCAGGGCAGGCCCCTTCTTCCTCAGCCAGAGCTCTGCTGGGAACTGAGCCGCATGTCTCAGGTCTCCTAAACTCCCCAGCCTCCCACCCCTCCCAGTCTCCCCCCCTCCCCCAGAGGCCCAGAATCTGCTGGCCCAAAAGTGGGGTCAGCAAGGCGCAGGGCTGGGATAACCTGTCCACTTGGGTGGAACTTAGCTCACAAGACCTGGGCGGGCTCTGCCGCCCCCAGTTGGGAAAGTGTCCCCATGAGGTGAGGCTCAGTTTTGCTGATTTTGGAAGGTCCTGGAATGAGGGCGGGTGGCACCTTAGAGTGTGAGAGTGAGAAGCTTCCAGCATGGCAGGTTTCTGTGCAAATACCGAGCCATCCTCTAACTGAGCACCAGTCAGAGTGCTACCAAGGGGTTTTCAAACCCATCTCACTTCTTTCCCCCTCACCAGCGTCGACCACCACGTCCAGTGCCACTCCTTCCTAGGAGGCAGGTAAGCTCCCCTCCTCCTCACAGAGGAAGAAACTGAGGCTCTGGCCTTTACACAGGCACCAACTCCTCACCGCCCATGTCTGCTCTAGGGCTCCCTGACGCTCCACGACTCCAGCCACTCTTCCCTCTTCTCTGCTCTAAAACCTCCCTTAGGGTCCATCCCTTTTCCAAGTTTCCAGGGTCACAGAATGTGCTGGAAACGCAGGTTCTGCTCCAGCACGTGGCTATGGATGGTGAGAGGAGGAGAGCCCTTTGGGCTACCACCACCCCCCCGCCCCCCGCTCTCTTCCCTCCCGGGGTGTGCCCACCCTCCCTGACCCAAGGCCAAGTTTGCTCTGGCTAGGCACCCAGGCGGCCGCCGACCGGAGGCAAAGATCATGGGGAGGATAAACATTAACTTCAAGTCGCCCTGCGCTCGGAGTTCCCGGCACTGAGTGCCCAGGGACCCGCAGGTAGGACCGCCAGTCCCTACTCCCCCCATCCTCCGGGGCCCAGTCCCCGCACCGCCCAGGCCTGTAGCCCGCCCCCTGCCCCCGCCCGCGGGCCCCGAAGGCGGGCGCTGCGGCGGCCCCGCACCTGTTCGGCCCCCGCCCGCCGGGCCCCACCCCGCGGCCCAGCAAAGGGAAAGTTGCAAACAGCACCGCTCCTGCTGGCGCCCCAGCTGTGGGGTCGTAAGATCCGCGGCCCTTCGCCCCTCTCCCCTAGATCCGTTCCCGGGCTGCGAGATAGACGCTGCACAGCACCCCTCATCAGCTCAAGTTTCTCTGCCCCTTCCCAGGCCGCCCAGGATTTTGTTCCCCCCGTCGCCCCTCCCCCCGCCCGCCGTCGCCGCCGCTCCCCGGGCTTTGCACACAGCTAGTCCCGGGACGCCGAAAGTCCTTTTCCAGGTCCCGGTCTCTTCACTTGCTTTCCCAGGCCCTGCACAAGCCACCCAGCGGTCCCCGAACTCTACAAGTCCAGAGGGACGTGCACCCAGAGGGTCTTCGGGGCCCGCACGATCCCCTCGGCGCCCCGGGCCATGCACACGCCCACCCCGAGGTGCCCAGCAGTCCCCAAGGGGCGCTGAGCCCTGCACCCGCCGCGCCTCCCTCGGGCCCCTGAGTCCTGCACGCGCCTTCCGGGCGCCGGGCCAGCACGCGCCCCCGGGACTCCCCGGCTCGCACGCGCCGCGCCTCCGGGGGCGGGGGCTGTGGCCCGAACTCTGCACCCTCACCGTGTTCTTCCTGGCCACCATCTTCTCTAGCTTTTTGGCGATCCTCAGCAGCTCCTCCTCCTGGCCCATGGTGGCCCGCGACGCCCGGCGGGGCGCGGGGCACGGGGGCAGCAGCTCGGCCTCGGGGGCAGGAGGCGCAGAGGCGGAGGGCGCGCAACCCGCGCGGGCCCCAAACACACACGACACACACGCCTGGCGGGGGCGGGGCCCTCCCCCCACACCCCCCTCGGCCGGCCGGCCTCCGAACGTGGGGGAGGGGTGGCTGCGCTAAATATAGACTTCAAGGACTTGCTCGGGCAAAGATTGCCCGCGCCGGCCAGTCGGGCCTCCCGAGAGGGACGAGGCTGCGAGAGAGGGCCCTGCACCTCGGGCCCTTCCTGGGGGGCCGGGGGCTGACGGAGATTTGGGGAGGAGGGCTCTCTGGCGAGTGGGGAGGCCGTCGTCCCGGGACAGGGGAGGCTGTCGCTGCGCGGAGGGAGCCTGAGGGCGCCCCGGGGGCTGCGGGGAGAGTTCTGGGCTCCCGCGTCTCTGCTCGCGGCAGCTCAAAGCGGCAGATCGAGCTCCGCGCTTCTGCCCCGGTGGAGGCAACTTGGCGCGCTGGGATCGCATTTTTGTGCGCGATCATTAAATCGAACTCGGCCCTACTCTGTGCTCCCGCGTAGATCCAGGCCCTCTGTTGCCGTTTATTTGGTTCCTTACAGTGAAGTTCTGCGTTTCTACCAAGTCCCAGTGCTGCCGTCCGAGTAGTGAGGGCTGGGGAGACTTTGAGAAATACTGACCCCGGGACGTGGGCGCCCTTTATTTATTCAGGGTCCAACCGCTGCCTTCCCAGTAGGATCGGGTCTGGAAGGGTCCATCTTGGGCGGAGGGAAGGAAACAGAATTGTGCCCCCACAGCTACACACACATCTCTGTACCCGTGGAAGGACCTTACAAGCGTCCCCAGCGGACCCAGGAAGGGTCCTAAACAAGTGAGTTTAATTGACAGAAAATAATCTTTCGGGGGGTGGAGGGAGTGTGCTTAGGGACCTAGAGGCAAGGCGGGAACACTGGTCCAGAGTGTGTGCAGGGCGGGAGCTGGGGGTGGGGCGTACAGTGAAATCTCCAGACCGTCCTGAGGGAACCTTGAAGAACCCCATCCCAGGCCGGGCCACAGAGACAGCGCCGGTGTGGACCCATCTGGCTTCTAACTGCTGCTGTGGGACCTGGGAGGAAAGGAGGAAGGGGTGGGTCTTTTCATTCATTCAACGAATATGTATTGAGTGTCCAGGCAACGAACAAGGCAGACCCAGTCCCAGCAAGCTTGAGATTCGGTCTATGGGCAAGAGAAACTCTAAACGAATTTGGACACGATCAATTCTGTATTATCACAACTGGGGTGAGGGTCGGGAAGAAGGGGGGGATACGTTAAGGACACGTTTGAGGGGACCTGTGTCAGTTAGGGTGTCATCTCCTCTGAAGAAACGAAGTGTAAACTTTGGGCCCGAGTGCAAGGTGGGAGTTGAGGGGAGGGAGGGAGTGTTCACGTGAGAGAGGAAGTAACATTCGTTCAGTCGACATATATTTACTGAGCACCTACTATGTGCCAGGCAGTTCTAGCCCTGAGCATCCAGGAAGGAACAAAATGCTCCTGGAGTTGCAGCAAAGCTTAGGGATGGGACAGTGCTTGGCTGTCAGGAAACCGGTGTGGCTGCAGCACCCAGATGAGAGGAGGGTGGGGAGAGGCGGGGTCTGACCACGCAAAGTATTATCGGCCACTTTGAGGAGGTTAGGCTTTAACGGTTTGGGGTGTGAGGAGGTCTCCTGCCAACCCTGTTACAAGTCCCTCTGGGTTGAAGGGACAGCTGTCTGCAGTTAGTTAGAACTGCCTTTAAAAAAACAAACAAAAAAACATGTGACATCAAAAGAACCCGATGCCCACATCATCAGGGCTGGAAGGACACTATGAAAACATCTAGTGCAACCCTCTCGTCGCACAGATGGGAAGACTGAGGCTCAGAGAGGCCCAGGGTCACACTGCTCAACCATACCAGACACGGTTGGTACCCACCACATCCCTTCTGCCTGCTGTCCTCCCTGGAGGCCTCCAGCGGGCAATTCCTGGACACTCCTCGGACAGCTCCCCACATCTGAGGGCTCCAGGGCAGGCTGGAGGCGCTTGGGAATTGACACCCCCAGGAAGGACCCCTCAACCAAGGAGAGACCAGAGGTGGTGGTAAACATGCCAATCTCTTCACTCTCAGTGGGATAACTTGAAGGCATGTTCTAATCAGTATAGTCTCTCAAAGGTCCCCAACAAGATAAGCAGCCCTAGTGGCACCGGGTGGTAGCCCCTCATGGATACACTGTTGCTTTTTGACCTTCTCTTTCACTTCCCCACCCCCTCATTATGTTTCCTGGGATCATCTCTCAAATAATAAACTACTTGCCTCCAAATCCTGCCTCAGGGGAAATCAAAATGAGACAGGGACGGTGGCAGAGCTAAAACACATGTCTCCAGACTCCTCATCCAGTGCTCTTTCCTCCACACCAGAGTTTCTCAACCTCTGCACTATTAACATTTTGGACTGGCTAATTCATTGCTGTGAGGGGCAGAGCTGTGTACTGTAGGATGTTTAGCAGCATCCCTGACCTCTAGCAACTAGATGCCAGTAGCACCTTCCAGTTGGGAGCAATCAAAAATGTCTCCGAGGGGCCGGCCCGGTGGTGCAGCAGTTAAGTTCACACGTTCTGCTTTGGCGGCCTGGGGTTTGCCGGTTCTGACCCCCGGGTGCGGACATGGCACTGCTTGGCAAGCCATGCTGTGGCAGACCTCCCACATATAAAGTGGAGGAAGATGGACATGGATGTTAGCTCAGGGCCAGTCTTCCTTAGCAAAAAGAGGAGAATGGGCAGCAGATGTTAGCTCAGTGCTAATCTTCCTCAAAAAAAAAAAAAAAGTCTCTGCATTGCCAAATGTCCCCTGGGACAAAATCGCTGGTGGTCGCAAACCACTGCACTTCACCAGCTGCCTCCCTTACTGAGTCCCGAGAAAATTCCCAGCCCTAAGATTCCCTCCCCTTCCCTGTTACTCTTCCGATCACATAAATGAAACCAGTGGAATTTACTCAAAAAAATCTTTTATTAGAGAGGAGTGAAATAACAAGTCTGAGGCAAACAAAATCAGACACTGAGGGCTCAGAAGACAACCCTGTTCCTGTGGGAACACAGACCAGCCAGGTCTCCAGAGTAAACAGCCCAGCCTCCTGGGACAGACTGCTGCGTTGGCCATTGGCACCCTCTGGCGTCCCGTCTGGCCAGGGCCATCCCTGCCAGGGCCCAGCGCCCAGTGCCCGTAAGGCTGAGGTGTTAGAGACTGAGGATGGCCTGGGTGTATATGTTTTTGATGATGGGGCTGGAAGCCATGGTGGGATTTCTGGCCCTGGCAAGCAGAACCTTCCAGTCTGTGCCCTCCCATTTCTGTCACTCTGCTTTCTCCTTTCTGGGCCCATTCCTCCCCCGAGACTGAAAGGCTCCTGAGCTGACCGAGAGAAAGAGCAGAGAAGTGAGGATCAACGATCCTGGACCATTCCTCTCCTTCCTGCTACATCAAGGTGAGTGGGCACATTCGGGTGAGTCCTACTCTACCTCCTGACTGGGGAATGTAGCAGAGGTCCCCCGGAAGGCTGTGCTGACCCTCCAAGGGGTGATATTTAGAATATTTATGTAACAGCCAGGATAGCATGGGCATTGACCTGCTAGAATGGACACAGGCCACAGACAGCTGCAGGGTCACACAGGTGTAAACCAGCTGATAGTCAGTCTGCCCCTGAGCCCAGCCCCTGGAACCTAGCCCTGCCCACTCCCAAGCCCAACCTTTGGGACCAGCTTCCCAGCAAGGGACCACCTCTGCAGGACTCTTCTTCTATTCATGTGGCATCTGGAACTCAGTAAAGGAATACTAGACTAATAATGGCTGAGAAGACAGTCCCTGGTCTGGCAGAATCCCTGTCTGGACATGGAGAATGACGAAGCAGGCTGGTCCTACTCTTGCGGAGGCCCCAGACTGATGGAAGAAGCACAGTGCTGGTCTGATGAGGGACTGTGGGTTTGGCAGCTGCAGCTAGCTCAGGAGTACTCAGATCCAGCCATACAGCCCCCTGGCCTCTGGCGGGTAATGAGATAGAGGGGAAAGAACCACCATCAGCCCTAACCTCGCAGGGCGCAGTGTCCTCGGCAGGGGCACGGGCCCATGGCAGGGAGGAAGGCCAGCCACAGAAGCACAAGGAACAGAGGAAGCAAGACCTAAGGGAGCGAACACCTCAGCTTTCCAGTCATGCGGCTCAAGTCCTAGCTCTGAATGTTGGGGTCCAGCATAGGGGTGGTCCAGGCACACAACGGCCGGCAAGGAGCTAGTCTTGCAAAAGCTGCACAGAACTTGCTGGGAGAACCCCAGTCCTCGAGCCCTCCCCTTCCGTGAAGCCAACCTGAGGAGAGAGGGATGAAAATGGACATTTACTAAGCACCTACTGAGTCCCAGCTGTTTGTCTCCCTCAGTTTCACAACTGCCCTTTTGTGGGTGGACGAAATTATCCCCATTTTACAGGCGATGAAACTGAGGCTGGAGGCAGCGAAGCCACTTTTCCAATGCCTCCACACTCCAAAGCCCAGGTTCCTGTTATCATACACGTCTCAACAACAAGCATCAACTAAATGCTGGGTGACGGATACCTGGTTGTGAACACAGATTTGTGTCTCGTGCCTGACTGTGATGGACTGAAGACGCCAGCTCCTCAGAGACCCAGCTCCTGCCCCTGCCTGGCCCCACTCCCAACACAGACAACCAACACCAGCCCTGAGGAACCCTGGGGAACAAGGGCCAGAGGAGGCTTCCTTCTCGGCACAACTGGCTCTGTTCTGTGCCCACTCCCAGGTTCCTCAGCTACATATGTCCAACTGTTTGAGACTTCGTGACCCAGCAGGGAGAGGCCCGATGAAGGATGACAGCTCTTGCCTTGTCCCTGTCACATCCCTCTATGCCTGGGAGCTGGCAGGCTCAGCGGATTCCGGGGGACTCCTGCACAAAGGGAGGGTCAGGTAAACCAAGGGCTGGTACGTGGCCACCCTAACCCCGCCTCATCTGCAGGAAAGTGATTCCTTCTCTTAGCGCCCAGCCTGGCGGACACAGCTTTGCTCATCCTCCCCCGGGGAGCAGCCAGAGCTTGGGCCTCAGCACCTCTGCCGTCCCTCAGGAACTGGGCTCTCCCCAGCTCCCCCCACCCTGGGCTGGAGCGGGAAAGGGAAGGAGGAGCACCAGGACAGGGACTGGCCAAACTAGGGCTGCCTGGCCCTAATGTACACCAGTCATGGGGAGAGGTCTCCCAATCTAATACACCCACTCTTGACCAACTCTGCCTCCCAGACACCCTGTACCGGCCCTCAAACCAGGGTCCCAGAGCTCCTACCGGCATGTTTCTTCTGGGCAGAGGCTGCCTGGCCGTGGGACAGTCTTCTGGGCTCCGGGCCCCCCGCCGATAGGAGCGAGTGCTCTCGGAGCTGCAAGGCAGGGAAAGGCCAAGGTGACCTCAAGCCCAGCAAGCCCCTCAGAGTGGGGAGACAGGGCTCGGGTACAGAGCAAGGCTGGGGGCTTAGGATGTGTAGAGAGTCCACGAGGCCCCAGGCGGGGTCCATCACAGGCCCAGAGGCCTGCAACTGACCTCCAGAGGGCTCCAGAGATTTCCCCATGTCTATTCTCAAAACTCCAAACTGCGAGGGTTTGCAAGGAAGGGAGGACTGGACCCTGGGTTGGAGGTGGGGACAGAGTGAAGACCCCACTGAGAGCCCCTGGAATAAGCCACACAGGTGGGACTAAGCCTTCTCTACTCCCACTTCAGCAATCTGGGTCCCCGACTCCTCCCCAGCTCTCTGGCTCACACCCGGGAGCAGGTGTGTGAGGGAAAGGGGTCCAATCTCCCTGAACTTAAGGTCTAGTCATGGGCCTCAGAGCTGGAAGGTTCCCAGTCTTCAGGCAGGCTCACTTAGAGTGGGGAAATAAATAGTGGCTCAGAGAGGTCAGGAGACCTCCCCAGGTTGCACAGCTGGGCTCTCACCAACCTGAACCTGACGGGGGGATACATCTCCGCAGGGGTGGTTCCAGATGTCAGGCTGGGTCGAGAGGCGCCCGAGGGCTCCCAGAGGCCCTCTTCAGAGCCATGTGGGCTTTGGCTGGGACCCCCAGGTTCCACGGGGCTTGTAAGGCTGGAGGAGGAGGAGGCTGGACTGCTCAGGCTCTCAGAGGCCCCAGGGGCTTCCGAGCTCAGGCTGGGGACTTCAGAACGATCTGGAATCGGAAGGGATAAAGCCTGTCTTGATCACTCCTCTGCATTCTTTGGCCTCGGGATCTATCACGGTTCTCTCCCCACTCCCCAACCCCATCTCCCTCTCCAGCATTCTCCTTCCGCTCCTCCCCATCATGCTTCAGCCTCATTCATCCACAGCATCATTCACGACAGCCAGGGCCACACTCTTTGGCTTCTGCTCACACCTTCTCCTCCATCTGGACTCTCCTACTCATCCCTCAGGCTCAGCGCGATGCTACCTCCACCAGGAAGCCTTCCTGAACCACCCCCACTCCCAACGGGACATGCTCCCTCCCTCCCCCGGACTTCCAGAACAAGCCTGTTCATTCATTCAACAAATAGTTCTTGAGACCAGCCAAGCACTGTGCCAGGTGCTGGAGAAATAGTGTCAACAAGACACTCCCAGTCCCCGTCCTTTTGGGGATTGACATTCTAGAGCACACTGGGCCTTATATTACAATGATTGCACTCCAGTTTTTCTCTCTCCCACCAGCGTAGCCCCCGAAGGACTCGAGACATGGTGGGTGCTCAGCAAATGTGTCTCTCTCTTTGTATTTAAGTGAAGCAGTGCACGGACCCGGGTTTCAATCCCATATCAGGGACTTATTAGCTGTGGGACTTTGGGCATCTCACTTAACATCTCCGTTCCTTTGCCTGTAGGGGTCATAACTCCTACCTGACAGTGGCTGTGAGGATGAGAAGGAGTAACACACGCACTCTTGCTCACTGCCCCCGCACACAGGAGGCCCTCAATGAAGGGTGTGATGAGCCTTGTAAGGACAGCCCACCATACCTCCACTGGCATGTCCCGCGCGTCCCTGGACCACAGTCCGAGAAGGGTTCTTCACTGGCAAGGGTGGGGGGCAGTCCTCACTCTGGCTCTGAGGGGCTGGTCCCAGACTGGCGAAGGTCTCATAAGTCTTGTTGCTGATGTCCAGCCTCCCACTGGCCCAGCGGACCTGGGCTGGGGGCTTCAGAGAGCAGCGCTGCCAGGGCAGAAGTGTGGGAGGGAGGACAGCCTGGTCCTCCAGTTCAGCCCTGCCTTCCCCATGCCAGGTCCCATCTGGTTCTTTCCTTCTTTTTTTTTTTTTTTTTGAGGAAGATTAGTCCCAAGCTAACATCCACTGCCAATCCTCCTCTTTTTTGCTGAGGAAGACTGGCCCTGAGCTAACATCGTGTCTATCTTCCTCTACTTTATATGTGGGATGCCTACCACAGCATGGCTTGCCAAGCAGTGCCATGTCCGCACCCGGGATCCAAACCGGCGAAAACCCTGGGCCACCGAAGTGGAACATGCGAACTTAACTGCTGCGCCACCGGGCCCACCCCTGCCTCTCTCCTTCTGCTGTCTAGAGGCCCAAGAGGCAGGGGCTGGGACCCACCTTCTCCTCCTCGTCCTCCTCACTGTCAGAGCCAGGCTCGGGGGAAATTCCCCAGGGGTAGTCCACGTGCAGAGGGAAGGCGAGGGTCCCAGCCTGGGCCTGCTCCAGCTGCCAGAAACAAAGGCTTGTTAGTTCAGGGGGTTGGGGGCTCAGCGGAGAGAAAGAAAGGGTCGGGGGCTCCCCCTTCTTCCCTAGACCTTACCAGCTCCTCACATTCCTTGTGCTGCTTCTTCCTGGCTATGTCCAGAGCTGTTTCTCCTGCCTCGTTCACTGTGAGGGGTAAAGGCAGGGGTATTATGCTTCGAGGTTAAGATGCGCCTCTGGAGTCAGATTGTCTGAGTTGGAACCCTGGTTCTGCTACTTCCTAGCTGTGTCACCTTGGGCAAGTTACTTCACCTCTCTGGGCCTCAATTTTCGTCATCTATAAAACGAGTATAATACCTGTAATTACCTGATGTGGCTGTTGAGAGGATTAAGTGAGTTCATATGTGCAGAGCACTTAGCACATTATCAGGCACATGTTAAATAGTAAATAGTGGCTAGTATAATCATTATTATTCAGATTCGGCTAATATTTATTCTGTTAGGTACTTTCAGAAACATTATTTTATTTTATCCTTTCAGCATGCCTTCTAGGTCAGCAGGATTATTCCCATTTTACAGATGAGGAAGCTGAGGTTCAAGAGATGAACAGACAAACCCCACAGTCACAGAGGTGGTCCGAGGCAAGCCAGGGTTAGAAGGCACGTCTGTCTGCCAAGTCCACGCTTGTGACCCGTGCTCTCCGTCAGGGAAGAAGGAGGAAGTCCCACAGGAGGGGCGGTGGGGAAGGGGAGTCTGACGGAGCCCCACCTGAGCCAGCGGCCGCCCTCCCTTTCAGCAGCAGCTTCAGGCAGTCGGGCTGGTTGTAGAGAGCAGCATAGTGCAGGGCACTGTTCCCATCAGCAGCCTTGGCATCCAGGTGACCACTGTGCATGGGGGGGTCAGGGAGGGAGGAAGGGAACAGACAGGTGAGGGGGTCAAGGTCAGGGGGAAAAGGAGGGAGAGGAGAGGAGGGCGGAGAGGGGGAGAAGAGGGAGGAGGGGGCAGCGTGAGGAGGTGGACAGGCGGGCAGGGGCGTTCTCACCCATTCTGGATGATGAAATCCACCAGGGGCAGGGAGGCCTGGCTGGCGACTCTGACAGCCAAGTGCAGGGCGAGCTCTCCAGGTGCCTGAATACACGTCCACACCTCTGAGTTTACCCCCAGTTCGTCTGCCCTCAACCCGATACTACCCTCTTGAACCCTTGCTGCCCCTGACTCCTCTGGATAGGCAGCTGCCAGAACTGCGGAGAGCTGAGACAGGCTGGGGGAGCCTCGAGTTAGGGAGGAGGGTGAAAGACCATTCCTTCCTCGCTTCCTTCAGTGGCTCTGCCTCCTGTGCCCCCAGGAGAAGGTGTTTCCCAAACTTGGTTCTTGGCCCTGGGCTTCCTCTCTCCCTGCCGGCTGAGACCTCAGCTAACCTCATGCTCTCAGCCATCACTCAGGTGTAGGCTGTTCCAAATTCTTACCTCCCCTACACGCTGCACCCGCACTGCCCACTGGACAGCCCCACCAAGATGTCAAACAGAAGCTCAAAGACATGACATCCAATTTTTGACGTCTAATCAGTCAGCAACTCCTGTTGACTTAATCTTTCAAATGTCTCTGATCGCCTTTCCCCTCCTCGGCTCACAGATGTTCCTGGAAATCGCAATGCAGTGGCCTTCCCTGATCTAACCTGACCCACCCTTACCCATTTCTAAGGCTATTCAAGGAAAAAAAAATGACACTAACATTCATGGCACACATATTACGCACCAGGCCGTTTACATACATGATTTAATTCCCACTTCAGCACTCTAGGTGTTATCATTAACCTCTTTTACAGATGAGAAAATGAGACTCAGAGAAGTTAAGTAACCTGCTCAGGATCACACAGCTAGGAAAAGACAGAGCCAGGATTCTGGCCCAGGGCTGCCTGACTGAAGCTGTGTTCTCTCCCATTTACCCCTCTGATGGTGGGGTTTGAGCAGCTGTCAGGGGTGGGGCAGAGGGGAGTAGTAGCTGGTTCTGGAGGAGGACTGGGGAGTATGCGAGTTCCGGTGGGTTTTCAGTGGCCCTTGGAGGTGGTTCTCACCTGCCCCTCAGGCCCAGGCAGCAGCTGTCCGAAGTCCTGCCCATTAGCAAAGGCCTCCAGCACCGACAGGAGGTCCCGGTTGCAAATGGCCATCCAGAGTCTCTGGGGCTCGGGTGTGGAGCGCCGGGCAAACCTGTGTTCCACATACTTGGCCACGATGTAGTCCCTGCGGGCGCTCCTGCCAAAACAGACAGGGGATCTCAGAGCAAGGGCCGTCTCCACCCAGCTGACCCGGGGACCCATCCCACAGGAGACAGGATCCCCTCTTCCCAGAACCTGTCCTGGACTCTTCCAGATCTGAGGCTCCCCTCCCCCCAGAATTCTGGTCCAAGATCTTTCTGAGACCCTAGGAGCTGGGGAAGCAGAATCCCCCAGCCAAGACGCCCGCCATCTGAGAGTCCCCTTACATGTCACTCTCAGCAGACGGTTTAGGGCCGCCGTGTGAGGGCAGCTGGGCCTCCATGACCTCATTGAAGCGTGTGTTTCCGATGTTCAAGGCCAGCTGGGGTTTCGGGAACGCGGTGGTGGTAAGGGCGGGTGGTTGGGACAGCGGCCCCTGGAGGACCGAGCCTCCAGAGGTCCCGCCCCCCAGCTTTCCTCTGGGCCCAGGCCCCGCCCCTGATCAGCCCCTTTCTGGCTCCTCTGGATCCCGCGCCACCTTGGCCCAGCCCCACCCGACCCACAGGCTCTGGCCGAGCCGTCGGGAAGCCCCGCCCCCGATCGAACCACGCCCCGAGCCCCCCTCTGGCCCCGCCCTGCCCTCACCAGCAACTCGGAGGGGCCCAGCAGGTCCAGGGTGAGGGACTGCATGCGCGAGAAGCGCACGCCCAGCTCGCGGTGGACGCCGGAGCACTGGATGCAGGTGAGCACGCCCAGGTTGGTGCTGAGCCACGTGGGGTCTGCAAAGACGAGCAGCTCGTGCCTGGCGGTGCGGCCCTCCCCTCGGCGCCCACCTCCCGCCTCGCCCCGCCCACCGGCCCCACCTGCTGCCCCGCAGTCGCAGCACTGGCCGTTCCCGGGCCTGCTCTTCACCTCGGCGATGAGCAGCTTGGTGAGGTCCTGGGGCTCCCCGTCCAGCCCGGCGCCCCCCCAGGGCCCCGGGCCGCCGCCGGGCTCCCCGAGGAAGGCACTGCTCAAGGCTTCGTCCTTACTGTTCTGCAGAACGGACACCCACCTGCGGAGAGTGTGCGGGCAGGCGTGGGGGTCACACCCGCGGCGGTGGGCTCCTGTTTCAGGCCCAGAGGCTGGGGCTTAGATGAGGCTCCCCTGCCCCCACCCCCAGGCTGGCCGCGGGGGGCACTCACGCCTCACACTCGTGTTCGTCCTCCGCCTGGAAGTGGTACGTCCTGTTGTCTGTGGGGCGAGGGGGGCATGTGTGGCCCACAGACATCCTGCTGGCCTTCCCTGCACCCGGGGAGCCCTCACCCCCACCACTGGATCCGGACGGAGCTTTTGTCCCTGTGGGGCCAAGCTCTGCCAAGCTGGGAGTGGGGAGGGTAATGACAGTGGCCAGCAGAGGGGGCAGTTTCTCAGAAGTTACTGCCAAAGCAGGATCCCAAGGCCTTCTGTGTGCAGCCCAAGTCCCAGGGTCAAGGGGCTCTCCTAGGGCACAGGACCCCACTCAGCTCAGAGGCAGGGTATCCTCTGAACCTACGGCCACCACCACTCTGGGCCCCACAGCCTCCTGTCTGGTCTCCCTGCTCCCCATCTCTCCCCCTCCCCCAGCCTGTTCCAGCTGCCAGGTTGTTGTACCTAAATTTCTGCTCTGATCAAGCCACTCCCTTGCTCCAAGACCCCCTGTGGCTCCCTATTGCCAGGAAAGAAGGGCCAAACTTTTAAGAGGCATTTCCAGGGCTCATGTCTCACTACTCTTGTGTGAACCCTGCACTCTGGCCAAACTGGCCGAACCCACTCTCCTGCTTCCATGCCTTTCCTCATGCCAGTCCTGTCTCCTGAAACGTCCTCCCCCAGACTCTCCGTTCTGTGTCCTTCAAGGCCAAACTCAAATGCTCCTCTGAGCAGCCGTTCCTGACTCCCCACCACAGGGGGGGCCTTCCCTCTCATCTCTGACAGCGTCACATCTGCACCTCCCTTCTGGATGCTCCCCATCAGCTTGCAGTCCTGGTCCCCACATGACACCCCTGTCAGAGCTCCCCGAGGACCAGGCCTCGCTCTTTCTCAGCCTGTGCCGGCCCCCACGTAAAGCCTGTCACCAAAGTCTCCAAAGGATAAAAACTGGAAATTTTAAAGTAATAATTTTGAAAGCCAAATTACCCAAATCCATTCAAATATGTCTTACAGAAATAACCAGATTGCATGTGGGATGTGGGTGCGTTTTAATGTTTCAGGTGACGTGAGGTGAAGCCTCTAGAAGACTGTGCAGGGGCATTTCAGGCCTGCAGGAGCAGCCGTTTATAAACACGTGTGGAAGTGGACACAGGCCCTGAGGGAAGCCTCCGGGAGCGGACAGGTCTCTGAGAGAAGAGTCGGGGGAGGGGCAGGGACCACTCACGGGTCACCAGGTCGAAGCACTTCTTCTCCTCGGGGTTGGGCCTCACTTGGCACGTCAGCAGGGTCAGCTTCACTGGGGGCCGGTTTATCTGTGGGAAGTTGTGGGGGAGGATGTACACGTCCCCCTCTGGGCCTGCCAAACTCTGATCGCAATCTGTTTAATGGCATGCTAATCCTGTTCCAGTTTACGTCTCCCCCCTCCCAGGACCTCAAAGATGTGGAGGGTGGGCCAAGACAAGGTTGGGGGCTTTGGGTCCCCTCCTTCCTCCCACCCAGGGGGTCTCCAGCTCCCTGGATCCAGGTCGAGGGCTAATCTTGGAGGGAGGGCTCGACACTGCTCAGGACACAGAGGAGTGGACCGGTCGAGCCCGCACGCCAGGCCTCACCGTGCTGTGTGAGATGGTCAGGCAGCCGTACTTTACTCCGCACTTCCTTTTCTGCCAGACTCTTCGAATTCTAAGGCCAGAGGGATAGAGAGATGGTGATGGGAGCCTCATGCCTAATCCCCCTGAATCAGAGAAGAGAGTCCTGGACCAGGCCCCCAGCCCCACCTGCATGACCTCCTGCCACACCTCTCACCTCTCCTGTGCCCTGACTCGGACACCCCTCACTTTCTGGGGCTGCCTGATGATGGAGGAGACACAGCCCTCTCCTTAGGAAGCTCCTAGTCTGATGGAGGGAACACAGCCCTGCCGGCTGGGAATCCTTATTCTAAAGGAGACCATGTGACCTTGGTCCCCTGAGAGCTTCTGGTCTGATGGAGGAGACAGCTCTCAACCTTAGGGGCCTCCTAGTCTGAGAGGGGAAAGAGGCGCTTGACCGCAACAGATGAATATAGGTAAAAACAAAGCAGGGTAAATATTGAAACCCTGAAAATAAAATTAGCAAATCCATGATCCAAAGCTCTTAGAGGTCCCTATTAACTGGTTAACAAAGTTATTTTTCTGTGATAAAAACGGATATGTAGAAACATGAACGCGTCCATAGGGCCTGTGCATTTCACGGACTGATTTTTTTATACCAGGGAGCAAGGCACAGTCCACGCTTTCATGTCCAGGCATATTCAGCATATTGGAGAGGTTAGGCGCGGGGCGTGGAGACTGGCTGGGGCACGGTGAGTCTGCAGCGAGGGTTAGCTGCTGCTATTCTCCTTCAAGAAGAACCAGTGACTTTCAGCAGAGGTTCATGGGCCCAGGCTTCTGATAATTTTGCATTGCCAGAGTGGACGGTCCTGGAGCCCTCAGGGTCTACACAAATGATAAGAACAGCCCCTTTGGGCAGTTCCCCCAACCCTGTCATTTACTGGCTGTGCGACTTTGGGCAAGTTACTTCAGCTCTCTGAGTCACTTACCCATCACTTTTCTTGTACAGAAAGCCCACCTTCTCCGTCCCAAACTGCTTGTTGCCTTGGTGCTGGTGGATGCTGTAGCCACCTCCTGAATTCTTCCGGCTCAGGTTCTCCTGTTCCTCAGACATGCAAAGGAGACCTCAGGGCGTCTGGGTGGGAAGAACCCCATTCTGCAGGAGTGTCACCCCGGGAGCCTTCTCAAGGGGACGCTGTGGGGTCTTCCTTTTCTCCCTCCCTCCGTGGTGGGCCTCAGGGGAGGGCACTTGCTTTGGGATGACTCAGGGGCTGACCTCTCTGCTCTCCAGCTGCAGCGTCCCCCGGAGGGAGTCCCGGAGCTGGGTCAACTTCTGGAGCTCCTCCTCCTGGGCTTGACGCAGCTATGGGACAGAGGGCAGCACCCCATCATCAGCCAGCAGACGTGCCAGGTGCACAGCCCGGACCCAGAGTTGCAGAGCAGTAGCCTCGCTCTTTGGGCGGGAGCCAACTCTTCGACACCCCAGATTCTCCCGGAAGGACAAGGGACTTGACCCCATGCCCAAGGTTGAGGCCCGACTTACTGCATGCACTGAGGCCGCCAGCTTCTCGATGAAGGGGGACAGGCTCTGAGCAGCCTTCCAGCCATCTTGGAAAAAGCTAAGAGGTGTGAGGCCAAACAAGGGACCAGAAAGAGATGCAAATGAGAGAAGTGTGGGAGAAGGTGCTCTAAGGATCACAGGGCACCTGGGGGCAGTAGAGTCTGACGGTCAAGAGCAGGCACTCGGAGTCAGAGTGTCTGGGTCCAAACTCCACTTACTAGCCGTGTGATCTTAGTAAATCTAAGCCTCAGTTTTCTCATCTGTAAAATGGGGATAATAACAGTACCTGTTCACAGGGGTGTTGGGGGACTAAGATCAAGTGTGTAAGGTACTTAGTGCCTGATAAAGAGGAGCTGTACAACACATCACCAACAGGGGACAGACACACACAGTCCTTGAAGGTCTGCCAGGCCCTGGCCCTGGGCCTTGTTCTGTGTTGCCTGAGGGTTAAGGGGCGAGGGACGGTGGCGTTGGGGTGGGGACACGGGGAGAGACCTACTTGTGCTGGGCGTGGAAGAACTTGATGAGGCTCTGCAGGAAGTCGGGACCTTGCTTCATCTGGCTCTCCCCAGCTTTGAGCAGATACTGGGGGAAGGGCAGGGCAAGATGTGTGACGTGAGCAGAAGCTGAATCCAGGGACGAGGGGCTGCAGTCCCCATCCTGGGCTCCGCCTCTTGGCCATGACTGAACCTTGGTGACATCTCAAGGGCCATCCGGCCAGGACCTGAGCTGAGTCTGTGCCTGGGCCCCGGGGGTTCAGGAGAGGCAGGCAGGCAGACACATCCCAGCCACCCTCCCCCTGGAGCACTCCTTACCTCACACATGTGCAGCTGGAAAACACGCCGCTCTCTCTGCGTGTCCTGGGCCACCTCCCCAGGGCTCCCTCCTGTCACCCTGGCACGGTCCCTCTCCTTCTCCAGCCTGGCCCTAGGCCCCAAGAAAAGAGAGGGCTGAACAACGCCCACCAGCCCCTTCACGTCCTACCATCCCTATGTGCTCCTCTCTGCACGGCCACACGAGAGTGAGGGGCGCTCCTGGGTGCCAGCCGTGTGGTGGGTTGGCGTACAATGGTGAACAAGGAAGATTCAGGGAATCCACAGGCTGGTCGGGGAGAAAGACGTGGATCAAATCACAGCTGTGAAGAGAGCGATGGGAGATTACATGGGGGACCTCATCCGGCTGCTCAGGAAGTGATGTTTGAGTGGGATCTGAAGTCTGAGAAGTTGCCTTGGAGGAAGCTAGGGCTGGGTGGGAGGATCAGAGCATGTGACAGTGGCCAGAGGCAGGAGGGATCAGGGCTCTAGGAGAAATGGAGAGGGAGGGGTTCCAGGTGAGGTAAAGAGGGGCCAGACCATGCAGGGCCTAATTCAGACCATGCTGAGGTTCTTGGTCTTCATCCCAACAGTGATGGGAAGGAGTGAAGGTTTTTATGGGGGGAGGGGATGCGCTCACATAAGGGTCAGCTGGGATTTGGGGTGACAATTCTGATTTTGCTGGAAGGGATTTAGGACCCTGTGGGTTAGAAGACCACAAAGTGCCTTCACTCTTCTGAGCCATGGAACTCCCCATTTAAAGCTTACAAAACCTTTGTTCTTTTCTTTTAAATGAAGACGGAAGCTGCTTCCCATCCTTGTAGCTGAGAGAAACCTGGGCCTTCCCCCTGCGGATCTCAAGGGTTGGCTGTTTTCCCTCTTTAGGGATGGGTGGAACTGTGTGAATGGTTTCCTGGAAATCCCACGCCCATCAGATCACCCACTCCCAGCCAGGAGAGTATTTCCACATCAAGGCTGGGCGCATGTGACCATGAATCCTGTGTAAAGGAGACGTCTTGCTCAATAGCTTTGCTCCCAAATGGGAGCCGGCCCTCAGCAGAGAAGACAGACGTGGGATACATCATGGGCTGCGTTACTTCCCCTCTTTGGGTCTCCCCATCTGGAAAAGGGGGCTCTTTATCTGTTCCCAGATGAGAGAAAGTATGCAAAAGACTTAGCACGGAGAAGACACTACAGCTATTATTACAGCCCCTCGAGGCCTCAGCCTTCCCACCTGTAAACTGAGGACGCAGTGGCCTAGACTGAGTTCTCAGGCCCCTTCTGCCTCTAAAGTCTCGGGTCCCACTGAGGTCAGACGTCTGGGACAGAGTTTACCCACAGCATCTGTCCCTGGAGACCTGTGGAGCAGTTTCTCGACCTTGGAACTACAGATAATTGACCAGATGATTCTTTAATGTGGGGGCCGCTCTGTGGATAGAAGATGTTTGGCAGCATCCCTGACCTCTACCCGCTAGATGCCAGTAGCATCTCCCCGGTTGTGACAACCAGAAATGTCTCCTGGGGGGAGGGTGGAGTGCAAAATGGCCCCTGCGTGAGAACTACTGCTCTAGAGCAGGGCGCTGCAGGCTTTTGTTTTTCTTTTCTCAGAAGCTATTTTTCAATTCCCTAAAGCTTTATGATACCCCAGGAGGGAGTCTGTGGCAGGGTGGTGGAGTTAGGGTGGGGACTGACCCTGTGAACCGGGCCTGGGAGTCAGCACTGATGCTTTTTCTGGGATCTGAAGATGAGCAGCAGGGAGAGAGGCAGTGGCTAGGCTGGGTGTTAGCAACAATGAGCCTGGCAGCTTGCAAAGGAGGGCAGGAGACTGAGTGGGCAGAGCAGCTGGGAGCGGGCGGGGAATCTTCCGTACACATTGTTACCATATCTTTCAATAGTGAAAAATGAAAAATAAGCTACATGTCTATCCATAGGAAGCAGTTTAATAAATTATGCTATGTCCATATATAGGAATACTATACAGCTGTTAAAAAGGATGAGGAAGATCTCTCTATATTGACATGGAAAGATGTCTGCTTCAGAATAAATGGACAGAAAGGAAGCCACAATGTAGTACAGTGGCTAGAAATGTGGATTCTGGATTTGAATGGCAGCTCCCTCACTTAACCTTTCTAAATCTAAGCTTCAGTTTCCCCATTTCAAAATGAGACTTGATACTGCCTAGTTCTCAGATGACATAATGCATGGGAAACATTTAATATAGTCCATGGCATATGGTAAGCCCTCAATAAATGGCAGGATTATGATGATACTAATGATACTGATGATTATAGTAAGAACGGTTGGTGATCCCTTTAGATAATTTTTTTTTTAGCATACAGTACTTCTTTATTTATTTAATATTTTTTATACAGGGTCTAGTGGAGATTAAAGGACAGAAGCTATTTAGCTCAGGATGAAGATAAGCTTGGAAGCTATCCATGGCTTTGTGAATTACCCTATTTCTGTCGCTCAGCCTCGGCTATGGTAATTTACAGAGATTTACCCTACAAAGTCTGACACAGTCACCTGATGTGACACCCCTCAAACTAATAGCTGGGGAGTGCTTTTTATTCCACCACGCACCCCAGCCCAGAAAACAGCAAGTCCCATTCCCTCCCTGTCTCCAAGGATCACCGACGTTTTGTAAACATTTCATATGTTAGGAATATTCTGATTTCCTTTGAATGGAGTTGCAGCAGAAGGAGCGAAATGAAGTAGGGGGTGAAAAGCGCTGAAATGCTGGTTACTAAGAAGACCGAGATGAGCGGAGAAAGGGCTACAGCAGCAGTCTGATGCTATTCAGGAGACGGAACAGGGACTCCGGGGGAGTGAGGAGGCGAGGGAGGGGGGAGACGGGAGAGGAAAGGAAGCAAAGCCAATCTCGCACCTGCCAACCTGACACCATGGCATCCTACGATGCCTGTTCTGACCACCCTTCCTGCCTTTCCTGCCAACTGCCTGCCTTTTCTGCCAGCTCCGTGCTGACACTTCCATTAGGGCACAATTACTTTGCATTTTCATTATTTCTTGACCCACCTCTCTTCTTGCTTACAAACCAGTGGGTCCCACTAAGGCAGGGGTTGTGGTGGTCTTTTCCTCACTACTTACCTATAAATTTGGGATCTTAACAGTGCCTTCCCCTGCCTAGGGGAATAAATCTGATAACAGATGTAAAGAACTTATCAGAGTGCCTGGAGAAAGGAAGGTCTCAAGTAAGTACAAGTACTAGCTGCTATTATTACTAATTATTGTTTTGAAGCACTAATTTTGTGCTGGGTGCTCTCCTAGACCTGTCACACGCTAAAGGGATAACCCGTGAGGCAGGATCATTCCCAACTTTACAAGAAGGAGCCATTTGTCCAAGGCACACAGCTAGTTAGTGCTGGAGGCAGGATCTGAACCCAGATCTGTCTGAGGCTAGCGCCCTGGGGACGGAGGGCACTGGTAACTAACCCCACCGCTCAGATTTGTTCCATCCCTCCTCCCCTGCCTGGTTCCCCCAGCTGGGGACGCTCACAGTGTCTTTTCTGATGGATCACAGTCAAGGACTATTTTACAGAAGGGGAAAGTGAGACCCAGAGAAAGGACATGACGGCCTAAGATCCCAAGCTGGTCCGGGGAAACGCTAGGAGCAGAGGTCTCAGGGCCTGCCTCTCAGCCCCTTGCTGAGTTATTCTGGTCCCAGTTTTGGCTCAGAAAGATGGCCAATAAATACCTGCTGAACTGCCCTGCCAGGCGCTTTATATGCTGTACTGTTTCATCCCCACATCAACGCTACGAGGTATCACTGGCCCCATTTTCCATTAGAGGAAACAGACCTGCACATGGAACAGCCTAGATAAACCAGGCCTCTGCACAGGTTCTGGGATGCCGTTCTCAGCAGCCCCAGGTAGAGAGGGGAGCCCTCCTCCTATATGAATGACTAGTGGGTGCGACTCCTGGTGGTATCCCACAGATGCTATCAGGGCCCTGGGCCCTTCCAGCTGCTGCCCAGACCAGTTTGGTAAGAATGAGGCAGAATCACACAGCCATTCATGGCTCACCAATAGCTAGCTATACCTGGAGCCCTCACAAAAAGAATGTACAGACACCTATGCCAGGACATGTAGCTCAACCTATGTAACATGCACGGCTGGAGCAAGGAGACCATGTAGCATGGCAGGAAAAGCACTGGACCCAGAAGCCCTGGGTTCTAGCTCCAGGCCCTGTCGATAACTCCTGAATAACCTCAGCCAAGCCCCTTTCCCCATCAATTACACAGAGTTCTTGTCTTTAAATGAAACCTGACAGGGAAGATCAATACGTAGATCTGGGAAAAGCAGAGCTGCTTGGGGAAGGTCAGCAGGGTGGGGCTGAGTCTTTCCACATGGTAGATGATGATCTGAAAGGCTAAGGGCTTAGTCTGGGTAACTCAGGGGGAGGAAGGCCATGGGACCCCACATCAAATCAGAAGAGAGAGCTAGCCTGCCGGTCCACACCCTGCCACAGGCCTCTGAGAGCAGAGGCCACGCCCATCACAGCTCCCACTGCCTCCACGGCAGGATCTAGATCCCCAGCTGGAGAATGGATGGAGATGCTGGTGGGGGGAGAGGTCATGGCTTTCCTCTAGACTCGGCGAGGGGGGTCCCCGTGGCTCTCGGAGCTTGAGGAACAATAAAGCTCCAGGATCTACTTCTTGGGATGGATCCTACAGAAACAGTTATGGATGGGAGCAAAGATTCAGTTCCAAGGATGCTTCCCCAGAGAGAGGGGTGGACTCAATACATTACGGCTTCTGCATACGCTGGCACACGGTGCACCCATTTAAGTGACATTGTAGAAGAATATGTAATGATGTAGAGATGGTCACGATGTATTTGCAGGTAAAAAAACCCAAGTATGATTATTACTTGAGTTTTGTAAAAATATTTCTTTCTGTATAGAAAAATAACTAGAAAGGTGTTAATACTTTAAGCTTGGAAATGAAAGATTTTCCTCCTAGTTTTTGGTGGTTTCCCCTCCCCCCACTTTTTACAGTGCTACCCACGCTACGTGAAAAACTTCCAACGACACAGAAGTACTAGCTTTTCCCCACAAGACCCCCCCCGCTAAGGATAATAGAATTGTTTCTTCTTTTACGTCTCCATATTTTCTAAGTTATTCATAATGAACACATAGTGCTTTTGCAAAACGTAAGAGAAAATAAAGTTTTACGAAGAATAGCAAGCAGTGCTCCGAGATACGGTTGGCTGGGCTGGGCCCCGGCAGAGGGCTGGGGCTGGGACCTGAACAGAGTCTAGAGGACACAGGCAAGGAGGCTCTGCTCAGGCGCAGTTGGTCACTGGGTGCCCGAGGCTCCTTCTGTCCCTGTGAAGTCCCAGTAGCTGGTGGGAGATCTGGAGTATCCTGTGCACACAAGAGGCCTGGGTAGGACATCCACTCCCTTTCCTCATCTATGTCCCGCTCAATGTTTAGAGATATCACCTGGTACTGCAGAAAGAGGATCAAAGAACGTGAACCCCAGCTCTGCCTCTGCCTAGCTGTGTGGCCTGGGGCAAATGAGTTAACCTCTCTGAGCCTCCAATTCCTGCTCTGATAATTGGGATACTAATACTTCCCTCACAGGGCTGGGTGTTTGTGAGGATTAAGTGACCAGCACATGGAGGTGTCCAGTAAATTGTAGCTCCTGTCTGTCTCTCTACCCATGTCTGGCACCACCAAGCAGATGGGTCTCTGAGAGCAGCATCTTGAGGTCCCTTCACGAGTGCTCCCCTTTGATGGTCTCGTGGTCCAGCCCCCAGATTCCCATCAGGCCTGGGCAGAAACCACCCCCCGTAGGTGCCTCTAGAGATCGAGATGTGCCATGCACTTAGGGGCAACGCGTCCTGGCAGCATTTAGATTCTTCCCGACATCCAGCCTCTTGCTGCAACACAAGCACCGTTCTCCTGGACAAACCACCTGGCCGCAGCCACTTACATTTTGGCTTCGTAGTCCTTCCATGCCTTCTCCAGCTGCTTTTTGGAATCCTGTGGTTTAAAAAGAACAATTTGCCCAAAGGGGCGCTTGGAGCCTGAAATCAACAGCGCACTTTGCACAGTTACCCTGTACCCTGTGCTTGCATGCTCCCCTCTGCTGCTCAGAGCCATACTCCAGCCAACCCCTGCCCCAACAGCCCTGCCTGCAAACCTGACCCCAACAATAGACCCAACTGACCCCACTTCTCAGGGCTGAGCCCCTCCTCCCACCTGACCCTCTCCCACAGTTGCCAAGAATCAGTCAGACTGGTGGGCCCGGGACTGGGGTGTGGGGAGATTTTTGGGATCTGCCCTGAATTCCCTCCCTCAGAAGATGGAGATCACCATGAGGATGAGGATGGGAGGATGAAGGTCCTCCCTAACTTTACCCCACCGTTCTCCTGCCGGGCACTAGACCGTCCTCTCAATAGGAAGGGTGCACAGAGAGACTAAGAAGTCTGCCGAAGGCTGCACAGCAAGCCAGTGAGACCCAGCTGGTCCCTGGCCTCATTCGCCTGGGCCTCATTCAGCTGGGCTGCGCACATCCTTCAGAACAGCCCCGACTTCCAAGGTGCCCCAGTCAGCTGGGTGGGAGAGCTGCTGGTCTGGTTTGGGTGGTTCCCCGCCTGGGGCAAGGAGGGAAGCCTCTGTGGGGAGGACAGCTCCTCCCCTGGGCATTCTGGGGTGGACTTCCCAGGGAGATTACTCTGTCGTCTTCTTTGAGCTCTGTCTGCCTCGAGCCAGGCTGCCAGGTGCAGAGGGAGCAGCCAGGTGTGGGAGTCCCGGAGCCCACACTGGCTTCTCTGCCAACCGGCTGTGTAAACTGAGAGCAGGTTACCCTCTGAGCCTCAGTTTCCTCAGCTGCAAGATGGGCACGAGAGTACCTACAGAACCCGCCTCACAGGGGTGTTGTCAGAAGTACATACGGGCCCTGGCCGACAGTAGTTCAGCTACCCTAAGGCTGACCCCAGAGCCAGGTGGTCCTGTGCTTCCAAGGGTCAGCAGTATGGGGTCAGCACTCCCACTGTACCAGCCATTCTCAGCCCAGCCCTGCCTCCCCTCTGGTCTCCTGCCCGCCCCCTTCTCGCTCCATCCTACCACCTCTGGGCACCCCTGCTTCCCGCATGGAGACTCACCTGTCGCCCATCCCTCAGCTGCCCCTTCAACAGACTGTCCAGGGGGAAAGAGACAATGTTGTTCAAGTTCTGAACCTGGAAAAAGCAGAGACCCCCATACCCCACCTTGGGTGACTATCTGTCCAGCCCCAAGGGGCTCAGGGTACTGTGAAGCGTCACAAAGCAAAGGACAGCAACGGGACAATGAGGCAGGGGGAGGACAGCAGCGGGGTAAGGGAGGCGGGCGGAGAGATGCAGAGGCCGGAAGGTAGAAGGGGGCGGCAGAGTCAGCCTGCCATAGAGCTGTTACCCCCTCCCCAGCTAATCCGGCCTCACCGCCTCACTGCCCAGGAACATCCGCGGTCAGTCCCATCTCTGTTCCTTTGCCAGGAGCACCCTGTCCTCTACTCTCTGACTCTCTGGAGTCCACCTGTGGTGCCCATCTGTCGTTTTTGTCTGGCTAGTTCCTCGTCTCCACTTATAATGTGGGGAACCCTTTCCCTGTGGCCGTGGGGTCAACACAGGAGTCGGAGCTGACCAGAGTACTCCATCCTGGAGCTACAGCGACTGGATCGGGAACAGGCACACCACCCAAGCCAGCCAATCAGGATCCTTCCTGGGGCTTCTCTGCCAAAGTCACGGGAGAAAGACTGTCTTTCTTCTGGTAAGATGCGAAGCTGGGCCTACTGGGCCATCCTGCCCTCTGAGTAGAGGCAGAGAGAAACTATCTAAGAGAACAAGATGGGGCCTAAAGCCGGTTGCGTACCTGGACTTCCCCTTGCAGGGGCCAGTGACTTCCCTTGTTAAAAATTAACCTAGTTCAAGTTGAGTTTGTCATTTGGCAACCCCAAACGGCCTGTCTGATATTTCAGCCTACCTTTCAAGGTACAGCTCAGGTCTCCCTTCCTGACCACTCCTGCCTGCGGCCTGTGCTGACCTCCCTTTTTCTGAATGATGGCAGCACTAGGCCTCTGGCCTGACTCCTGGGGCCTTGAGTCCGTGCTATGCTGCAGGCACTGCTTGGTGTTGTCCTACATCTCAGTTCCCACCTCCCTCACTAGACGGTGGCTCCCTGAGGCAGCGCCTGACTCTTCCTGTGTCCCCAGCCCCTGGTACAATGGCCACCACAGCAAACACTAGTTTCACCGAAACAGGAGGAGGAGAGGTAAAGACCAAAGTGGTCACTAACTCAGTTGAACTCAAGCGCCATTCACGGCCCCCCGTGCAGGACAGCGTGTGAGGCAGTGCTGTGCAGACGTAGTAAGGACGGATGGCAGTCTTAGCGAACATTTACGGGGCACTTACTCTGGAGCAGGCGCTTAACTCACGTAACCCTCACTATGACTCTGTGAGGTGGGTACCATCAGCATCCCAATTTTACAGACGCAGCTCAGGCAGATTGAGTGACTTGCCCAGGGTCACACACCTAGTGAGCAGCAGAGCGGGAATTCGAGGCCTGACTCTAAGCCCGAGGTCTGGGTGCTTAACCACTAAGCAAACTGCCTCTCAGAGATGAGGGTCCCTGCCAGCCAGGGAGGGCACTGCGTGGGACTCAGGCCACGAGAGCCGGTCCAAAAGCTACGGAGCCTGGAGAGAGAGGGGCTTTGCTGGGCGACGGTGCAGCCAGGCTTGTGCTCAGAAGCTGGAGCCAGACAACCTGGGTTCAAATCCAGTCGTGAGACCTGGGGCAAGCTGCTTAACCTCATGTCCTGGTTTCCTAGTCTGCAAAGCAAGGGCAGTGGTGAACCACCCCACAGAGCTGTGCTCCCGGCTTGAATGAGTTCACAGCAGTGCAGCACTGAGAGCCGCACCTGTGCACGGAAGAGCTGGTACCTCGGGTGGTCTCGAGGTGGGGACTCAGAGGACAGGGGAGGAGGCAATCTCAGGAAGGAACCTGAGGCCACGGGGCCACGTGCAGGAGCTGGGGGTTTGGGGAGGAGAGGCAGGTTCTAGGCTTTGAAGACAAAGCAGATGCAGCTGGGAAAGCAGAGGACAAAGCGGGTAAAGGAGAGGCGCAAAGACAGGAACCCCAAAGTCTGCCCTCCCTTCTCCCAGACCTCCTCCAGGGAGCCCTCTGTCGCGTGGGACTCTTCCCCACTGTGAGACCCCTCTGCTCCTGGGGACTCGCCACAGGAGAGAAAGAGGAGGGCAGAGAGGGAAGGGAGAGGAGACGTGGGTGGGAAGTCAGAGAGGAAGAAGGATGCAAATGGTGGCTCAGAACTGGAAAGGGACCTCAGGTCATGGGTCAGAGGTCAAGGGCAGCCCAGGAGAAGGGTGGAAACCAGCCCTTTCCAGGTCAGGTTCTCAAGCCCACTTGATTTACCCTGAGCCTGGGCTAACGGCTGGGTGAGAAGGATCAGGGGCCTCACCAGGTTCTTGAAGAGCGCGGCCACCTCGCGGGTGAACACAGCCAAGTTCAGGAAGCCGGTGGACAGCTCATGACTGTTTTGGGACAGGTGGCTGTTGCCTAAGGACTCCACAGCCTCTCGGTACTGCTCCTCGTTCTCCACGTGGCCTGGGGAGGTAGGGAAGGGCAGCGTCAGCTCCAGGCAGGGGCTGGGCAGGGGCTGGCCGGCCAGGCTGGGCATCAGGCAGGCTCGCTCACCAAGGCCGGAGCTGTGGATCGCCCGCACGGCCTTCTTCACTCTCTGCAGGAGGGCCTGGTCTCCTTCCAGGACCTGGAAGCACACGGGGCAGAGGTTCAGAGACGCTCCGCTGGGAGGGGTGCCTGACTCCACATCCCACCCTCCAAACACACACAAACAGTTTCCTCCCGCGGGGCCCCCTGAAACCCCACCACCCAGAAACAGACCACCAGATGCGTGGACACCACAGACCAGTCACACTCCTCCAGGAAGTCCACAGACTTGTCTCCCGAACGCCAGTGCAGGCCAAGTAAACGCAGCGATGCCAAGGCGTGTGGCACGGGGGGATATGCCAGAGTGGGTTTGAATTTCGGCTCTGACACGAACTAGTGTGTCAATCCAGACAAACTGTTAACTTCTCTGAGCCTTGGGTGCCTTGTCTGCACAGTGGGGATGATACTAAGGACTCACAGAGTTGCTGAGAGAATGAATGATTTGACGATTATGTACAAAATGCTTAGCAAAGACCAGAAGAGAGAATGTAGACGTCTCTATATGGGGGAACTCTGTTCACCAAATCCCAGGTTCGAGGAGCAGGCACGTGAGGATGAGGAAGATACCAGATACTATGGGTGGTGGGGAGATGAGAGAGGGTAGAGGGGGCACTCAACTCCACTGGGAAGACTTGGTGGGATGACAACATGCAACCCCAAAGTCCGGGGGTGCAGACTGGGGAAGGCCAGGAGATGTGATGGCAAGAGGCCGAACTCACCTGCCCCAGGTAGGCTCAGCCTGCATGGAAACCTCCCAGATGTGCTCCTCTTTCAGTGGGTATAAAGCTGCCAACCTCATGAAACCCTTATGAAGTGCAGAGTTAAGCTGGAAGTCACAGAATGTTAGGGCTACAAAGGGCCCACAGAGCCACAGATGAAGAAACCGAGGCCAACACAGGGGAGAGTCTTGCCCAGAGTCAAATGGCAGGGTCACAGCAGAGCTGGGCTCCCAGGGTGCCCCAGTCAGCACACTGCTCCATCCAGACACCACGGCCCTTCTCTGACCCCAGCCCCACCTATTTTGTCCAGTGACTAAAGTGGGATCAGAGTTGGAGCTCCAAAGAGTTGCTTCAATATGACAAGAGTTAGCGAACACGTTTGGAATGGCACCTCCGAAGATTCTACACCATACTCACAGGATATGCCACAGGGCAGAGCTCGGAGGCGATGTGGGGTGTTCGCGGAAGCCTTTGGCAGGTAGGAAGCCTCTGGAGGGAGGAGGGTCTGGTTTTGAAGCCTAGCTCCACTGCCCAGGTGCTGTGTGACCTTGGGCAAGTTGCCTGTTCTCTCTGAGCTTCCTGATTAGCTATCTGTAAAATGGGGGAAATAATGCCTACCCCTCAGGGTTGTTAGGAGGGTTATATGTATGAGATGATGGGCTTAGCCTGGTGTGGAGCACAGAGCACATCTTCAATGAACAGTACCTATGGTCATCACCAGCTGCTGTTGCTGACACTAGAAAGGTCCATCAGATTCTGGGTACTTTTCCTACGGGGACTAGAAACCTAACGTTCTCCTCCCTGAGTATGAACTTGAGATACTTGCACATTTGGGACCAGTGGAGGCCCATCTCAGGGCTGAAGAAAGAAAGTCAAGCAGTCAGGGAGATCAGGGAGTGGGGGCCATATCTGAATCAGCTGAAGAACTGAGACACTTCTACCAGCGAGACAAAGGCAAGAGGAGAGAACATGGACATCTCCCTAGTTCCCAAAGGCCCGGGTGAAGAAACACATGTTCGCAAAGGCCTCATCCCCATACCTTGAAACTTGAAAAGGGAAAGCTAAGAGGGGATTAATTGAAGGAGCCATGACTTGACGCCAAAAGATAGCGCAGGTTAAAGATATGAACAAATTCCACAGAGATTTAGAAAACTCCCTAGAAGGCCATCTGTGTGCCTAACATACATAAGGTGCTCAATAATTGTTTATCTAAATGAAAGGTTTGCAAAGGCCTGGGACACGGACCTGAGAGGTCTATGTCTGTGCTCTAGACACCTTGGGGAGTCTCCCATCCCATGACACCCAGTCTCTGGAAACTGCTCTCCTCCCCTCTAGAGGGGGGTCCTGGGCGCCTTGTTTGTTCTAGCCAGCATTGACTGGACCAGGGTGGACACTCTCTCCAAGGAATCTGGAAACAGGCTCTAGGAAGCCAGCTAATTGACTGCAAGCGCTTGAGCTGGGGCGCCTTTCCCACTATGTGCAAAGAGAAGAGAACAAGCAGGTGTGGAGAGAAGCACATGAAACCCATATCCTGCCCCGAGGCCCTTCCACCTTCTAGTCCTGGGGCCTCCACGAAATACCCCTGAACCGGCCAACAAAGTCCCTGTAGTGCTTGAGCTGGCTTGAACGGCCATCTCTCCCCGGCACTGTGGCAGAGACTGCTGTTGGCCCCCACGTCCATTCTCTCTTCTTCCTCAGCAGTAAGAACCCTGACTTTTCAGATGGCCACCTGGCCACTCAGATTAAAGATCACATTCCCAGCCTACGTTGTAGCTAAGTGTGGTCGTACACCCAAGTTCTAACCAATGGGGTGTAATGGATATTTCACTTGTTAGCTTCCAGAAAGCATCCTTAACAGGAAGAGAGGGACTGCACGCCTATTAGAATGGCCAAAATCCAGAACACTGATGACACCAAATGCTGGCGAGGATGTGGAGCAACACAAACTGTCACACGTTCCTCGTGGGAACACAAAATGGCACAGCCACTTTGGAAGACAGTTTGGCAGTTTCTTACAAAACTAAACGTACTCTTACGATAGAACCCAGCAGCTGTGCTCCTTGATATTTACCCAAATGAGCTGAAAACTTATTTCCACTGAAAATGTGCACACAGATGCTTATAGCAGCTTTATTCTTAACCGCCAAAGCTCGGAAGACAATGGAATATTATTTAGCACTAAAAAGAAATGAGCTGGGGCTGGCCCGGTGGTCGAGTGGTTAAGTTTGCGTGCTCCGCTTCAGCAGCCCAGGGTTTCGCCGGTTCGGATCCTGGGTGCAGACACGGCACCGCTCCTCAGGTCATGTTGAGGTGGCGTCCCACATGCCACAACTAGAAGGACTCACAACTAAGAATACACAACTATGTACCAGGGGGGGCTTTGGGGAGAAAAAGGAAAAATAAAATCTTAAAAAAAAAAAAAGAAATGAGCTATCAAGCCACAAAAGACATGGAGGAAACTTAAATGCATATTACTAAGTGAAAGAAGCCAGTCTGAAAAGGCTGGGTAGTGTGTGACTCCAGCTATACAAGATTCTGGAAAAGACAAAGCTGTGGAGACAAAAGATCAGTGGTTGCCGGGGGTGAGGGGAGGGAGGGAAGAACAGGTGGAGCACAGAGGACTTTTAGGGCAGAGAAACTACTCTCTATGATCCTATGATAGTGGACACTTGTCACTATACATTTGTCAAAACTCATAGAATAGGGGCCGGCCCCGTGGCCGAGTGGTTAAGTTCGCGCGCTCTGCTTCGGCAGCCCCGGGTTTCGCCGGTTCGGATCCCCGGCGTGGACACGGCACCGCTCGTCAGGCCACGCTGAGGAAGGAGGCCACATGCCACAACTAGAGGGACCCACAGCTAGAATGTACAACTGTGTACCGGGGGCTTTGGGGAGAAGAAGAAGGGGAAAAAAAGAAGAAGATTGGCCACAGATGTTAGCTCAGGTGCCAATCTTAAAAAAAAATACAAAAAAGTTCACAGAATGTACGACACCAGAGTGAACCCTAATGTAACCCATGGACTTTGGGTGATAATGATGTGTCAGTGTAGGCCCACTGATTATAACAAGTGTTCCATTCTGGCATGGGATGGTGATAGTGAGAGAGGTTGCGTGTATGTGGAGCAAGGGGATATATGGGAACTCTGTACTTTCCACTCAATTGTGCTGTGAAACTAAAACTGCTCTAAAAAATGAAGTCTATTTTTTTTAATGTTTTTTTTTCTTTTGAGGAAGATTAGCCCTGAGCTAACTACTGCCAATCCTCCTCTTTTTGCTGAGGAAGACTGGCCCTGAGCTAACATCTGTGCCCATCTTCCTGTACTTTATACATGGGACGCCTACCACAGCATGGCTTGCCAAGTGGTGCCATGTCTGCACCCGGGATCTGAGAAGCAGAACGTGTGAACTTAACCACTGCACCACCGGGCCATCCCCTATTTTTTTAGTGAAGAAAAGGAAAGGAAGAAAACAAAGAGAAGGGTGTCCTCTGTCACACCTTTCTCCTGGCTAGAAGGCATTAGTGATGTCTGGAGCTGAGGCAGCCATCTTGGACCATGAGGTAGAAGCCATGTGTTGTGGATGGTGGTACAACAAGGTAGTAGCCTTGTCTCTGATGACTGGGGAGCCACCCTATCAGCCCTGGACTACTTATCTGCAGACTTATTTTATATGAAAGAGAAATACATATCTTATTTGAGCCACTGTTATGCTGGGTATTCTGACACTTGTAGCTGAACTAGCTCTAACTGGTACAGGCAGGCAGGTCACTCTAATCATCCAAAAACTGTCCCTGATGCCCTTGTCAGACATATATCAGGAAATGGTTTCCCAGCAAGATACCATCCTGGCCCATACTGCTCTTAGCAACCAAGGTTCACAAAGCTATTCACTCATTCAGCTCGTTATTGAGAGCCTGCTACGTGTTCACTCCCTGAGATAATAAAAGACAATCTCAGCTCTCAGGGACATCACCATGGAAGGGAAGAAAGAGCCAAGCAGATACTTGTAACGCAATGTGATTAGGGCTTTAATAGAAGAGAGACAAGGCCTGGGAGCCCAGGGGAGGCAGAGCCGTGTCTGCTTAGGAGGAAGAGGGACAGCTTTAAGCTGTGATGCTTGACTGTGGGCAGTGGGCCGGCAGAAAAGAGACTGAGAGACTGCACTGCGGGCGGGGGCGGCGGTGGGGGAGCACGTGGTCTGAGTGGCAGGGTTGCTAGAGGAGGGAGGCAATGGGCAAGGAGAGGAATACCGTTTACTCCTCCTTTCATTCCTTCATTTCAACAAGCATCTCGAGGTGCCTAGGTTAGCTGGGCACGGCCCCTTCCTTCAAGAGGCTCACAGACATATAAACACGCAACCCGAAGGGGGCACAAAGAGGGGAGAATTCTGAGCACCCTTTTCTCAAGAAAATATCTGAAAATCATTCACACTGGGGTATAAATGACTGATAACATCTGTGATATAATGGGGCAAAGAGTTAAGCTAACGAAATGTAGTTTAAGGAGGAAGTTCCGATCATAGCCTGGGGAGGGGAGGCATCTGGGTAAAGGCAGAGAGGTTCCCAGAGTTCCTGCAACGATGCTAGCATAGCACAATGAGTCACAAGCTGAGATTCTAAACCCCGTCTCCCCCAAACGATCTCCCCGGGGGACCCCAGCCCAGCCAGTTCTCCAAACTGCCTCTTCTTTAAAATGAGAGAAAAATAGTAGAACATGGGGGGAAAAAAATTCTCCACTTAACTCAGAGTTACTGTGAGGCTGACCTGGGAGCGCAGCCACCGCGGCCTGTGCCAAGGCTTGAGGCATTTGGAAAATCTGAATGTGATTCTCCCTGTGCTTTGTTTTCTGCCTGTGGATGAGATCAGCCCTCGTCCCCTGAGCCCGAGACAGGACAGGTGAGAAAAAACAAGTCCGCCTCTGGCTTCAGGTGGTCCATTTAATCCCGAGTGGTCAGGGATTCTCAAAGCGGGGCGCCTGAGCCAGCAGCATCAGCATCACCCGGAAGCTTGTTAGAAACGCAAATTCTTCAGCTGGATCAGAAACTCTGGGCGGGGCCAGCAGCCTGTGTTTTAACAAGCCCTCCAGGTGATTCTGACGCAGCTAAGGTCCTGGAATGGCTGGTCTAATTCTACCTTCAGAGACGCAGTAAGTCATCTTTGCTAAAAGTATGGGGCTGGCTCCAAACTACCTAGCTTTGAATTCCAGCTCCATTAGGTACTTGCTATGTGACCTCTCTGTGTCTCAATTTCCCCATTCATGAAATGAAGATGATAATAGTTTCCACCACATAGGGTTGTTGGGGAGATGAAATGAATTCACATAGGTAAAGTGCTTAGAACACTATTATTTGGTAGCTAACAATGTCATCTATTTCAAAATTGAACTGAATTTGGTTTAGGAATTTTTTGACTTCCCTTGAGCTAATTAAAGATAGCCCTCCCCCACCCCCACCGCCACCCCGCTGTGATCCTGCTTGGCAAGCTGTGGGAACCATAGGTGTGGAGGGACCACAGTGAAACTTCAGCCCCGGCAGTCTCAGAGTGCAGACATTCCATGTCCTGGGTGGCCGCTCTGTGCCGGGCACGTTACTCGTCACCCCCCGCCACTGTATGAGGTAAGCATCACCATTTGCCTTCTACAGATGTGTGCCAGGGACAAAGCAACACGTCCAGGTATGTACAGGTCACATAATGCTGAACAGCGGCAGAGTCGTAATTTAAACCCAGGTCTGGCCAGATCCGGGGCCAATGTGCTTTCCTTCCACCGAGCTGTCCCACAAAGGCTAAGGGACACGGCTTCTTTGATCCTGATCTGCCTCTGAACTGAATCCCAACGCGGCCACCTCTGCCTCCACCTTCTCCCCTCACCATCCCCTCAGACAGGGAAGCCACAGAGGAAGAGCTGCCCAAAGAAACAAGGTTGACAGCAGTGGTAGAGCCCCAATTCCAAATACTCCAAGCCTACTGAAGAGAAAGTAGATTTGTATGAGTTGTTGGCCTGAAGAGGAGTCCCAGGACTGAGAGGTGGAAGTTAGGCAGACAGAAACAGATGTCAGCTCAAACCGAGGAAGGAGTTCTTCCTCTTCCTCAAACAGAGGAAGAATAAGTGACCCCTATAGGGAGTGAGCTCCCCATCACTAGAAGTATTCAAGGACATCAGGGGGTAAAGCATGATTCAGGCACTGGATTTTGGATCAGTAGTGATGGCCATTTAGATTTATCTCAAAGCTAAGAGTCAGTGGCTCCATGCAAGAGCCTGGGCGGGCACAGGGCAAAGGCAGGTGAAACATGAGGGCATCAGGGACATGTCTGAACTTGGAAAACCAACTGAAGTCCTTCAGGCAGCCTTGCCTGGCTAGTTCCAGCTGGCGGCACTGCCTTTTATGTCCTCTACCCGACCCCAAACACACACACACACACAGCGTGCTGGCTCCCTGGTTCGTGTTCTCTGCAGGCAGAAGACCACAGATGGCAGCACTAGGGCCATGCCCAGCTGCCCTGCTTGGAAGGGCCTTCTGCATGCCCCTCTCCTGGGTCAAGATTCATCAATAGGACCCATTCTTCATTCCTGTGAGTCCTCAGAGCCAGCTGTGGTAACCATGGCAACTCAGCCAAGAGGGCAGAGCAGCTAAAGCTAAGGCCTTGGGAGCTGCAGATTAAATTATACCATTAGACATTCACTCCTTTGGATGAATATGCGGCATACGCACTGCTTTTGTGGCATCCCATGACCACTGCAGCCATCGTTAATCAATCACAGTATTTTCCCCACTAACCCTGGGTTGGTTCATCATTCTGCTAAGACAGCTCTTCAGGTAGCCTCTACCAACTAAACTAGACTTGGCACAGAGATGAAAACCATTTTCTATCTTTGCTTTGGACCGTGATGTTGACCCCTGAGAGGCTAAATCACAGAATATTGAAGATAATCTAACACTCCCTCCTCATTTTACAGGTTGCAAAGAAGGCTCAGCTGAGTTTCTTGCCCTGGGTCTCATTGGAAACGCAAACAAACTAGGGAAAGAATACAAACCCAAACATGTACAGGGCTTTACAGTTTGTAAAGCAGTTGGCATCCACCCTTTAAGACCCACAGCATCCTAATGAGGCAGTCATTGCTTTTGCTCCCATCTGACTGATGAGTCAATGAGGCTCAGAGAGGTAAAGAAAGTTGCCTGAGCTCACACAGCCAGCAAGTGGTGGAGATAGACCTGGGACTCAGACTTTAGACTCTGACTCCCTTGTTCATTCCAGTCCATGGGCCCCAGATCCTGGGGGCCCATGGAGTTACTACCAGGCCCCTATGAAGCCACACTTACAGTACACACTAAAGACCAATAAGAAACGTCTCACAAATTAGCCTGACCACATCCCAAACATGTATGCAGCTCTCATGATCAATAAGACACTGAAATCTTTAAAAGCATTCTTGAATTCTTGATAGTATTTTGTCCTTTTTCATATTTCTCAATCAATCAATCAATCAATCAATATGAAAAGTACAGCTGTTGAGGGAAGGTCAGTGAAACTCTGACACTGAAAAGGGGTCCTCCGGTGAGCTGGCGGGGTCCTGGCTCCTTTGCTCTTGGACTCTGATGTCCACACGAAGATTAGATTATCTGCACTACATTTAAACACGAAAATTAAAATACAATACTTTAATGAGCAAATTAAGTTATCCTTAAAACATTTCATGAAATGATATATAAAATGCTAAAACCCCCCGAAAACCTGGGACTTCTCATTTCTAGATCCAACTACCAATTTAAGGAAAGCGCAGAAGATGGAGAATCTTGTTAAACCACACCTGGGGATGCGGCAATGGGCTGTCAGACGGTGTGAAACTACAGAACAAGCCTCGTGGTTTCGCTAACAAGGGGACCGCAAAAAAACAAAACCACAAACGATGGCAGGGGAATCTTACGAGACTCAAAATGCACATCAACAAATGGTAATGTGTGGACTTTTCTTGAATCCTGCTTTTTAAAAAAATAAACTATAAAAGAGGTTAGACAATTATCAGACAACTAGAAATCTGAAAACTAGATAATTGATGATTCAGGGATTATTGTTGATGTTTTGGGGTACAATAATGGTATCATAGTTATGCAAACAAGAAAGGGGTCCTTACTATTTAGAGATCCATATAGAAATATTTAAAGATGAAATTTCTTGATGTTTAGAATTTGCTTCAAAATAAGATGAGACTCAAGAAAGTAGGTGGGGGTGTGGACAGGACAGGACTGGGTTATGAGTAAATGGGGGTTCATCATTCTGTTCCGGCGACTATTATAAATTCTCCATAATGAGACAAAAGGGAGGGCTAATAGATGAGAAAATAAGATTGGCAAAATATGAATAGCTGCTGAAGCTGAGTAAAGCTACTTTTGTGTATGTTTGAAAATTTCTATAATACAAAGTTAATAAAAGAAAACAAGAAGTTCTCATATTCAGCAAAGTTGGAGCCACTGCCCCAAGGTACCTGGAACTAGTCCTTGACACCTTAGGACACTGAGCTGGCCCCTTTCAACAGACGGTGCACGGCTTTCAACAAGAGGGATAGATGGGAGAGAGTGGGGTCTGGGAAAAGTGGGCCTGAGGGCCAGGGGCTCAGGAGCAATGGAGGGCAAGGCCCAGGCGGGAAGGGGTTAAGGTTGATCTGCTGGCTAAAGGCGGCCACCAAGCTCCAGGCCTAATTACGAAGAGGGCACATGGTGGAAAGAACAAGACGCAGAATGAGGAGACCTGGGTTCTATTCTGGACTCAGTCCTTACCAGCTCTGAGACCCTGAGCAAGTCCCCAGCATCTCTAGCGGAATTTGGACCTGCAAAATGGGAATGACAGTCACTGCTGCTCAGCCACCTCCCACTGAGAATCGAATCACAGAAAGATGGAGGTTTGTAGCTGTGCAAAGGAGAGCTGTCCTGTTCACGTCATGTTCGAAGTTCGCCTTTTCTCACCCACCTGCCCAACTGCCAGATCCAGAGAAAGGCAGGGAGCCCCCCAGGGCCCCTCCTGGGTGTCCAGCAAGGAAGAGGAAAGGGTGGGACCGAGAAGTATTCTCTGGCATCACACCTTAGGGCAATCCCAGCTCGCTCCACTCCCTTAATAGCGCCTGCTCGGAATCTCAGATCTGCAAACCTGCCCCTCTCCACCCTGATGCGCAGAGGGAGGGGCTGGGGAAGGTCTCTAACAGGGTCACTGGCACGCAGTAGGAGCTCATTCGCACACACTGAGTGCCCGGCTGTACCCAGGCCCGGTGCAGGTGCTGGGGAGAGAGGGATGCCAGGATCTACCCTCAAGGTGCTCACAGCCCAGTCGGGGAGCCAGAAGGTAGACAAGGACATTGTCTAAGGGCTCAGGCGGTCTTGCTGAGCCTGGAGCCGAAGAGAAGCCCGTGTGGGGGCACAGAGGAGGAGCACCCACCCCACCCTGGGATGAAGTGATGCTTCATCAGAAAGTCGAAAAATGAAGACATTGGTGGAGGAAAGTAGGATAGGGGAAGAAGATTCTAAGCGAGGAGAGGTGCCCCTGCAAAGCCCCTGGTAGGAGCGCTCGGCACATTTGGGGAACAGCCAGGAGTCTCCCGGAGCAGGCAGGTTCCAGGGCCAGTGGGGAAGTGGCGAGCAGTGAGCCTCGGGCCAAGCAGGGCCGGGAAGGGGCCGCTGGGAGACCATGCTCACGATAACGAGAGCCGGCTGGGTGCTCCTCTATCAGTACCACGTACCAGGCTTTATTCTAAGCACCTGACATACTATGTATTAGTTCATGTATTCCTTCCAACAACCCCAGGAGGTTCTACAGATGAGGAAACTGAGGCCCAGGGAACTTATGCCGTATGCCTAGGCTCACACAACTAGTAAGTGGTGGAACCAAGACTCAAACCCAGGGTGTCAGGCTCCAGAGTCCATGCCTTTAACCAAAACCTCTAGGTTTTATCCCACAAGTATGGGGAGATCCTGCAGGGTTCTGCACAAGAGCCGAGTGGCCTGATAAATTCTCCTGGTAGAAAGACCGACTCTGGGGCTCGGCTGCAGGCCCACGCCCAAGCGGGAGAAAGGGGGTGTAGCCTCGTCCCCCAGGCACGACAGGGTGACTGGGGAGCACAGCCCGGCCCAAAGCTGATCACACTACAGGAAGGACTCGGATTCCCAGCTCCCGGGAGGAGTGTCCAGGACGAATCCAGACACCACTTCCTGAGTGCCTGCTTTGGGGCAGACGTGTTATTTAAATCATTTACTCCTCCCAACAACCCTGTGAGGTAGTTATTATCTTCCCCATTTTACAGACGAGGAAACTGAGGCAACTGGCTCAAGGTCACTCCAGGAAGCGCGGAGCCCTCTGCCTCCAGAGACTTCGCTCTCTAGCACACGACAGCAGGCCACGAGGTGAGTCCCGCCTCGCTGAGCCCCAGGTGGCTCTGGAAGGACTGCTGTGAAGATGAAATCAGGTCGTTTCTTTCCTAATGGTGGATGTCAGCCTCTAGAGAGGCCACACAGAAATGTTTTGGGGGAAGGAAGGGTGCTGAATTTTAGGCCTGCCTCTGCCATTAGCCCCTCTGTGTCCCTCTGAGCAAACTCCTTCCTCCCTCTGTGCCTCAGTTTCCTCATCCATACCATTTAGAGCTGATGGACAGGACCTCCAAATCCCCTCCCAGGTCGATGCTCTGGGACTCAGAGTCGAGATGAACGGTACCCTGCAAGGCTGCTCCAACCTCGGCCGCCAGCAGGAGCAAAATTCTCCAGTGGTTTTCAACTGGATCAGCCCCACGCCTGTTCCAGGCTGGGGCAGTCAGAAGGAGGTGTCTGCGGACGGCAGGGTTCTTCCCAGCCCCGCTCTGCATCGCCCATGTGGAAGGGGCCCCCAGCCCTGCCTGCTCGCTCGCAGCCCCTGCAGTGGCTGCACTGCAAGGCCTGGGGGCCAGGGCCCGGGGCCAGCCCCTGTTCTGCCCAGCCCCCTTCTCTGCCTGGGCTGAATCCTCATCTGGAACGAAGGGGTTGGGCGGTGACATGGAAGGCTCCTGCCAGCTCTGACATTTATTATTTCAGGATCCCTCAGCCTCTTGCTGTTTTCCTTCCTGTGCTGCTGGAGCCTGCGACTGGCCATGCGCCCCCTTGGTTGGGCCCCCGCAGACATCTCCCCAGCCCGGGAGCCTGTCCAGCCTTGCCAGCTTGGCCTCACCAGCTGCCCCTTGCAGGGTGCTGGGAAGCGGGGAAGAAAAGGGGTTGCAGGAAGGGAGCCGCACCCTTGACGTACGCTGAGGCCTCTGCAAACCCCAAGTTTCCTGGCTGGGATTTTTCTCGGGAGACTGCTCGGCAGGGATGAGCTAAGAGAGCAAGAACTCTGCCGGCCTGACTGCCGAAGATTCCCGTCCGACTCCTGGCCCCAAGCCCTGAATTCCGCCCAACCCTGGGGAGAGCCCGGCCTGCCCTCCGGGACAGACAGCAGAGGGTCCCACGCCTCCCATCCTCTGGGTTCCTTGTTGGCCTGGACAAACCCCTCCCTGCCCCCAACTTGGGCTTGATATCCATCACTAATCCTTTAAACCCCAGCCCTAACCGATGCTTTGCAATTTCCTTACTATGCCTGTTTCCAGCCGCCAGACCTCTGCGCGCACTGCTCACGCTGCCTGGAGAGCCCTTCCCCCATTCTGCCTGTGAACACTTCATCTTTCCAGACTCAGCCTACAGGTCACCCCTCCCTGCACAACAGAACTCATCCCTCCTGCCTTCATGCCGCCCTGCGCCCATTCCAGGCTTTCTCAGGGCACTCATGGCCCTTACTGACCATGCATCTGACTTCTCTACGAGGCTGAAAACTCTAGAAGGGCAGGGATTGGTTCCTTTGCCTTTGTATCCACAGCACCCAGCTCAGGGCCTGGTCCCTATGTAGCAATAAACGTTTGTGGGATGAATGAATGAGTAAATGAATGAATGGATATCAGCAGGGCCCTATGGGAACACAGAAAAGGCAGGAGGGGTTAAGAACTCTGGCTTTTACATCACATTGTTCTGAGGTCCAAATTCTGGTTCCAATACTCTTAGCTGTGTGACCTGGGGCAAGTGATTTAGTTTCTCTGAGCCTCCATTTCCCTATCTGTCAAATGGGATACTATCTCATGGCATCTATCTCATAGCACTGAATGCGATCAGGCATTTAAGCACCTAGCCCAGTGTCTGGCATACATGGAGGGCTGCGTGGTAGTTATCCCACCAGCAAACATCTTCTCGGTATTCCTAGGCCCTGAGAAACACATCCCCAGGCTGCCCAGGGTGATCAACTGGAGCGCTAAAAAAAAAATAAGGGTGCCAGAGCGACTTCAGACCTGTTCAATCAGAGTCCCTGGAGAGGGCAGGGGAGAGTCAGGCACCGCCCGGGGTGTGACAGGTGAGGCACCCCCCAAGTGCTTGGAACCGTCCGAGTCCAAACCCTCGCTCTGCTAGCAGAGTTGCCAGATTTGGCAAAAATAAATACAGGACAGCAGTAACATTTGAATTTCAGGTAATCAATGAACAGTGTTTTAGTATCAGTGTGCCCCAAATATTGCACAGGCATCCTGTGTGCTATTTGGCAGCCCTGCTTACGAAGCTGTTTCATCTCCCTGCGCCTTCACTTCCTTGTGGGGATTACATGAGTTAATATATGGAGAATGCTTACAGCACTGCCTGGTGTGTTTGCTATTCCTATTTATTTTGCTTTTAAAGCAACCCAGACGACACGGGCGAACCTTGAAAACATTCTGCTCACTGAGAGAAGCCAGACACAAAAGGCCACATATTGTAGGATTCCACCGATATGAAATGTCTGGAATAGGCAGATCCATAGAGACAGAAAGTTGCCAGGGGAGTAATGAGCACAGGGTTTCTTTCTGGGGTGAGAGGAATGTTCTGGAATTAGAAATGGTGACAATTGCACAACACTGTGAATAAAGACCACTTGAACTGTACATGTTAAAATGGTTAAATGGTGAATTTTATGTTATATGAATTTTATCTCAATTAAAGAAAAATCTACCTAAAAGCAACCCAGGGGATTGTAACATGCAGCCAGGACTGACAACTGCATAGGCTTCTCAACAAGTGTTTGATGAAGAAATAAATGGCTGGGAGAGAGCAAAGGGCAGAGCTGAGGGCAGAACCTGCCTCGTCCAGATCTAGGCTGAGCTATTCATCCCCGGACACCTGCCAGGTACACAGATTCCCGTTCTGCTCTGGTGCCGGGACTGCACAGACAATTTCAGGGCTCACTCATAGTCATTACTTCATCCCTGTTGCCAATATCTCCCCCTTTTCTCTGTGTGTTTCCTGATCGCTTTAACTGTCCCATGTGCAGGTGTAGTTGTGTTTTTAGTGAAAGGGAATTTTTAAAAATCATTAAGTATGTTATGTGCCAGGTACATGCTACATGCTTTATACGTAATCCCCTTGTACAACCCCAGAAGATAGTTATCATCACCCCTGATTTACAGATGGGGAAGCTGAGATTCAGAAAGGGTAAGTCATTTGCCCGAGGTCACACAGCCAATAGAAATTCAAACCCAGGTCTGTCTGACTTCACTTACTAGACTCTCTCCACAGACCTCAGCCATGTCCTGTGTGCTGTGGGTTGTCAATCATCTTTTCATGGGCATGAGTCCTCCTTTCCAGATGGAGGCCTTGCCTTGTCATCTTCATGCCCTCAGAACCTGCCATCCTGCCTTTGCACACAGCAGGTGTTCAATAAATGGAGTTGAAGGGATTACTAACCTAAGTGGGCATGTAAGAGCTCACCACCATAGTTCTCACCTTCACTGCACATCAGAGTCACCCCGGGGAGCTTCTGAAGCACGCTTGCCCAGGCCTCACCCCTGGGAGATTCTGATTCAGTGAGTCTGGGTGGAGCCCGCAGCATGTGAAGTTCTTGAAAGCTCAGTCAAGGTCAAAACCCAGCTGAGCTAGAGAACCTTTAGCAGCTGTTCCCGCTCGGCCGCCCGCACCCTCCACGGTGACGCCCAATCACAACGTTCCCAGGACAAAGGGAGCCCAGGGCCCGGCCCCAGAGTCTGGGGAACTCACTGTCCCTCACCGTCTCCTGTGCTCTGGCTGCAACCAGGTCCACCAAAGGGACCTTCCAGCAATAACGTCTGTCTGAGGACTACACCTCCAAACTGCCTTCGGGGAAAGCATTTTCCTTCTGCTCTGACCTAAAGTTCCAGTTTCTCTCCCCAAACCTGCCTGTGTCACCTCGGTGGCTAGAAACAGCAGAAGCCAGGCAAGGAAGTGAGCAAGAAAGACTGAAATTTGGAGAGGGGAGGAGACTCCGAGAGACTGGGCTGGAGACTGACGAGCGCAGGAAGGCCCTCGGCCCCGTGCAGAGTCAGCCTGCTCTGGGAAGAGGCCGGGCCCAGGCCGGGCGGGTTCTAAGCTGGAAAACCCTCTTGGCCCAGGTCCCTAGCCACCATCCCTCGTCTCTGCTCCCCATCTCAGGAGAACTTCTCATCTGACCCCTCCTCTACCAGTCCAGGCCGGTGTGGAGGGGAAAACAGCACTAAACCTATTCTTAAGGTCATCAATGACCTCCAGGCTGCCAACGCCAGGGTCTCATCTCACTCATTTCTCACTTTACCTCTGAACAGCTAGGCAGCGTCTGACGAGCTGAGCACTGCTCCCTCCTCAAAACATCCCTCTCCTGGCTTCTGAGGCGCTGTACTCTCTTGATTTCCCTCCTTCCTCATGGGTGGCTCCTTCTCAGTCTCCTTTATTAACTACTCTTCCATCCTACTCTCTCAATCCTGAAGCTCCCCAAAGCTTGGGCCCCGGCCCTCTCCACTCCTCTCCCTGGGTGACCTTTTCCGTTCCCACAGCTTTAAACAGCAGCTAATGCAGTGAATACACATGTGGTTCATGGGCCACCTGCATGAGCATCTCCTGGGCTGCTGGTTCGAATGAAGATTCCCAGACACCTTCTGCACGCTAGCAAACCTGCTGTCAAGGACGTCCATCATCTTTCGCCAGTCTGGCATCTGAACTTCCTTCGTCTGGGAAATTACTTGCTGCACAAGGCTTGGCAGAGCTTGCTTCCTATAAAAGCTAAGAAAACCAAGTTCTTACTTTTCAGCCTCCCTTGCAGCTAGGGTACAGTTGTACGAGCTAGGCTCGACCAATCAGAGGCACTCATTGCAGACTTGGAACCAGGAGCAGAGAGAGTGGAAGATCCGTCCTTATGCTGGTGGCAACAGCAGTGAAGGGGCCCAGTCTCCAGGGGACAGTGGCATTTAGTGCAGGGCAGCAGTGTCCTCGCCAAACTGGCTCAGCAGAATGATTCTGGCTGAGATCCTGCCTGCTGCCTCGCTCCAGGTCTCCAGCTTCCCAGACATTCTGTGCACTACTGAATATTCCCTTTCAATGAACTCCTTTTCTGTTTAAATCAGCTCAGGTTGGTTTCTGTTACTTGCAATAAGAAGCCTAAAGAAGACACAGCTACTGAATCAGACTCTCTGGGAATGATGCCAGGTGATTCTCACACAGAGGCAACTTTGAAACCCACTATCTCGACGTTGACGGCAGTCCACTGTGTATCTCCAGCTCCTTTGATTTCCAGACTCACATATCCAACTGCCTTCTTGACATCTCCACTTGGATGTCTCAAAGACCCATAAGATATACAAACAGAATTCTCTTTTTTTGAGGAAGATTAACCCTGAGCTAACATCTGCTGCTAATCCTCCTCTTTTTGCTGAGGAAGACTGGCCCTGAGCCAACCTCTGTGCCCATCTTCCTCTACTTTATATGTGGGATGCCCACCACAGCATGGCTTGCCAAGCACTGTCATGTCCGCACCCGGGATCCAAACCAGCGAACCCCAGGCCGCCAAAGCGGAATGTGTGCACTTAACTGCTGCACCCCCAGGCCGGCCCCACAAACAGAATTCTTGACTTTCCCCAAACCTGTTCCTCTCCCAGATTTCCCCTTCTTAGGAAGGGTCAATGGCACTTTTCCATTAGAACTTGGGAACCACTCCTCACACGCACTCCATCAACAAATCTTGATGTTACTACTTATAAAATACTTCTAGAATCTGCCCACTTCTCTCCTCCCCCAGTCACGGCCCTGTCCACACCACCATCATCTCTTCCATGAACAACTACAACAGCCTCCTTGGGTCCCCTCCCACTCCCCTCCAAAGGAGTCTCCACCCAGCAGTTGATATGATCTTTCTAAAATATAAACTGAATCACGTTGCTTGACTGGAAACTAAGTAAAATCCAAACTTGCTGCTAGGGCCTCGAAGCTTGAATATGATCTAGCCCCTGCCTACCTCCCCAAACTTCCTCAGTGGAAGGCATCACTCTTCCATTTGTCCATTGCTGTCTATCCCCTGGCCTCCCTTCAGTGTCACAAATACTTTAGGTTCTTTACTGCCACAGGGCCTTTGCCCAAGCTGTTCCCTCCATCTGGAGCACCCTCACACCATTATTTTCTATTAATGCTTCTTTTTAGTTTTCTTTTATTTATTTGTTATTCAACAAATATTTCTGAGCGCCTACTATGGTGCTATGGTAAATACTAGGCATACAAGATGAGATAGATTCTGTTCTCATGGAAGTCAAAAGCTATTGAGAAATCAGATTTTAATAAAATAATTATACAAATAAATGTAAAATTTTTCTATGGTGTGCACTGCAAAGGAGAGAGATACCGTGCTGTTAGGGAGAAATGAGCTGGATTGAAAGTGGAGAGGCACGTCAGGAGGCCACTGCGGTGTTCCCGGGCAGTGGTGATGGTGGCTTGGACTGGAGACGAAGGGAAGTGGGTAGACTGCAGAGACGCTGGGAAGGTAAAGCTCATGACCCTTGGTGATGCAGCGTGCACGCGGAGGTGTGAGACCTCTGGCTTATGTAACAGAAGAGAGGGAGGTACCCCTCACTGAGAAGGGAACAGTGGAGGGGCCAGCCTCATCCGTTCCTTAGGTGACAGGATTGGGTCCACTGGTCCCCCTTGCTCAGCAAAAAGCTCAAAAGCCCAAAGGCCCTCCAAGTCCTGTTGCACCCCCTTAGCTCTCCAATCCATCTTTTTAATTCCCCTGCACCTGAGCTTTCCAAACTGGGATTCATCCGCGCCTGGATAATCAGGGAGGCACAGTGCCTCTCCCTGGAGCCGAGATTGTGCCAAATGAAGAGAAATTGGTGTGGACATGTGGGGGGGGGGGTCGCTTTCCAGGCCCTGCCCCTCTTCTCGAGAAGTACCCCCTCCCACAGTGTAGGTCTCTGTGGCCATGTTTACCCTGCCTGCGTCTATCGCTCCACGACCTCTGCTGATGAAACCAGGGGTGGAGACCCAGCTTCTGGAACCAATCCAGAAGCTGGGCTGGGCCAGCAGCCTCTCTGCCAGGAACTTGGAAGTGGGACACAAGACTGGCTTGGTCACCTTCAGAGGCTGGACCAGTGGGGTCACGTGAATGTGGGGGCTGAAGCTGCCTGTCTTCCCCAGAAGACTCTGTGATGCCCTTTGGGGCCTGTGTGATGACAAGGGAGCAAAAGCACTTTTCAGATGTGCAAAGAGGAAGGCAAAAGGTGGTGAGAAGGACGAAGCAGCTGCTTTTGTCCCTGACGACTTCCCAGCCTCCAGTGAGGCCCTGGTGAGGTCTACTACTTACTGCTCTTCAGTCCCCTCAGGCACCTCTAACTCCTTAAAGCAAATTTCCCTTCAACATAAACAAGCTTGAGAGGGTTTATCTTTCTTGCAAACAAATAAGCCCTAAGATGACATAATTTTTATCATTTTTTGTAAAACAAAAATTTTATTATTTTTTGTAAAACAATTATAGATATAGGACGAAGCAGAATGTAAAATTGACAAGAATATTAAGGATTAAGAATGAAATTCTTGGGGCCGGCCCGGTGGCGTAGTGGTTAAGTTTGGCGTGCTCTGGCTCAGCGGCCCAGGGTTCACAGGTTCAGACATACACCGCTCATCAAGCCATGCTGTGGCAGCGACCCACATACCAAATAGAGGAAAGATCGGCACAGATGTTAGCTCAGGGACTTGCAAGTCCCTCAGATCACCAGAAAAAAACAAACAAACAAACAAAAGAACGAAATTCTTCTTCTAAAACAAGATTCAAAAAGGAAAAGTCACAAAGGAAAAGATAAATTTGATTCCCATAAAACTTCAAAGCATGCATTATAAGACATGATACGAATTGAGGTAAGCATTCTCCTAACCACTCCCCCTTGCTGATAGTAGACTTTCTCTGAGGACCCACAGTGGGAAGCACACACATTGCCACAGCAGTTACCTCTGGGGAGAACACAGGGTTTGTGAGACACAGTCACAGGTGGCTTTAGCCTTTTCTGTTACATTTTTAAATTGTTAATTAAAAATTATGATGTCCTACGTGTAAGTAAAACTTCATTAAATTTCAAAAAAATATATATAATACACAAGCCTTTGAAGATCCCCTCCTTGTGGAGGACTGCTTCATCCAAGATTCATCAGGAGACAGAAGTTCACTAGTAGTTTGAGACACACGATACAGCAGGAATTCTCAGCACTGGTCAAGATGGCTTACTTGGTTCCTGAATATGTTCTCTTCCCACCCGTCTCCAAATTCACTCACTTGTCCTCTCCACTTAACGGAGTTCTTTCCCCCTTCAAGACCCATCTGGAAGTGTCACTTCCTCCAGGAAGCTCTCCCTGACTGCATTCGTCTTCACTGCGCCCTCCCTCCCCTGCTCCACTGGCCTCTTATGGCACTGATCTCACCTTTCTCTACCTTTCTCTGGGTACTCGAGACAGACTCCTGGGGTTCCTACTCATCTCCCTAAGATAGGCTACCTCTCCCCAACCAGCCTGCAAACCAGAGCAGCATCTTTCTGTGCTTGGTGCCTAGGACAGAGATGGCATGGAGAACTGGACAGATCACAGGCTAGAGTTAGACTGACCCACTCTGTGACACAAAGCAACTGCCTTAACCTCCCTGGACCCATTTTCACCTGTGTTATTGTGAATATCAATGAGATGATGGATGCAAAGGGGCCCAGGGAGGAGGAAGGCTGAGAGAATGATTATCTGTCTTAATACCCCCTTATATTTGTACAGTGTTTCACAACCAAAAAGAAAGAACTTAACGACCCAGAGAGGAAAGCAAGGAGGGATTATTAGACCCATTTTATGGGTGAAATAACTGAGGTTCAGAGAAGTTACACAGGGAGACAGGCAGCTGGACTGTAGAAAGAAAGGGAATAGGACCAGGGGTTAGAACCTGTGGGTGGAAATGCCAATTCTTCCCCTTCCCAGCTACGGGAGCGTGGACAAGCCCCCTGCACTCTCTGGACAAGAGTTTCCCCATCTTAAAGGAGGGAGTTCCTAGGTGAGCTCTCTCTTAAAGGGTCCCTCAGCACTGACACTCAAGTTTCCCGTGACTTGCCCCGGGTCCTTCCTAGCAGGACTGCAAAAAAGGGCTGCAAGTCCCAGGACAGAGTCCCTAGCTACTCCCAGGAAACCAGCTGGGACTGGAAGACGTGCCTTAAGAACAGTTGCATTTTGATTCAGCCAAATGGAGCTTCAGGCCCGGGAGTGGGTTAGTCATGCCCAGAACTGTGGGGGTGGGGGTGTCAGCATGAAACTACATGTAAATATAAACATGAATGCAAAACCAAACAGGAAACTCAGGAAAGTCCAATCCAAAGGTCAGATTCTAACTTCTGGGGCAGTGAATTCAATGCTGAGGAGAAAAGCTGTGTTTGGGTCCTACAGCATTCCTGCTGCAAAACTGAACTCCTGCATGCATCAAACCAAAGTCCCAAAGGCAAAGGAGGCCCAGTTTTGTCTGGCCTCAACTGGGGCAAAGCTGAGCCCTGACCAGAGCCGGCCACGGCCTCCAGACCCCTTCCAAGGGCACCCCCAGCCCTGCCGGCACACACAAGCGCTTACACACAGCAAGCCAGGCAAGGCCAGATGCACGGGCACAGATGGGCATTTCTGTCCCTGGAGAAGGGTTCAGAGCACAGCCCCTTCTGCTCCTGCTCTGATTTCACATTTTAATGAACACACAGAGAAGGGTGAACACTGGAAGCCCTAAAGATGCTGATGGCACTGAACTCTTCCAGGTCACGAAACTTGAGGCCACGAAGACAAACCTCAGGAAGCTCTCGTTCCTCAGGATGAGTCTGCGGCAGCTTCCCTGGGAGCCTCCACCTGCATGGGTGGTGGCCTCCAAGCTACTAGTGCTGCCCAAGGAAGAAAGCCAAAGGTCATCGGCAGCTTATTTTAATCAAAGCATGCACTTCTACGAGGTGCAAAGCACCAGGCTAGGCTCTGTGAGTGAAATGAGAACCAGAGAGACCTCATCTCTGTCTAAAGAGGTCCGTCAATGAACCTGGTAGTCATTCTATTTACCAAGATGCATGCTTTACACACGTTGCCTCATGTAATACCACAGCCCTGTGAGGTAAAGATTAGCATCCCCATTTTACAGATGCCAAAAGCGGGGCTCCAACAGATCAGGTCACATGCCCAAGCTCACACAGCTGGCAAACTGCAGAGCCAGCATCTGAATACAGGGAGGCCTGCTGCACTGTCCACACTCTTTCCACAGTCCTCTATCACTCCTACAAAGCGATACACACACACTCTCTGGGATGGGAGTTCAGCCTGCCAGAGGAGAGGAGGAGAAGGAGAGATCTCGCACGACAGTGGCCCAGGGTATTATATCTGCCACCCAGTAGGTGGTCAATACTCTTACAGTGAAGAATGGAAGGCGAGAGCCGCTGCTGAGGTCCAAAATGCCACCCCAATTCAGGGCATCCTCCAAAAGGGAACTACAAAAACACAGATTCTCTCTTGCCCCAAAGCCGCACAGTGTCTGCCCCAGAAGATTCCCTGCAGAGGAGGCCCGGGAACATGCGGCAGGTCCGGGGAAGAGGAACAAACTCCAGCAAGCAGGGGAATGGGGTGGGGCGGCCTGCAAGGGCGAAAGAAAAGGCCTGGGACGCTTGCTGGGAAAGACAAAGAGGGGAGGGGAGGGTAGAGGAGACGGTAAACTTGCCAACAGCCTGGCCAAGGTGAACCCCGGCTCCTGGCGCCTTCTCGGTCGCATTCATTCCACAAACGCCGGCCAAATCTCAGAACCAGCAGCCAGGGGGAGGGGGCCTCCCTGCAGCCAGGCAGAAGTAAGTTCAGGACCGAGGCGGGAAGGCCTGCTTCCCAGAAGGGGAGTGACGTGGGGGGTAAGCTTGTGGGGCTCTGAAGACGAAAATCCAGACAGATGCAGCGAGGCGCTGAGCAAACACATGAGACGGGGCAGGTCACCAAGAGCACTGGGGGTGTGTCCCCCGACCTGTGAAGCCTGTCATCGAGGTGACCTCGAGGTCCCCCCAAACGGTCCCTCCGGCCCTCACCCTGCCTCGACGGCGAGAATGCTGATGTTCGCGATGCACTCGGTTCTCCCAGATCTCGGGAGGGGGCAGGTTTCTAGGTAGCGGTGAGGGCCATCGCAGCTCCGGTTACGCCTGTTAAGGTCCAGGCGAGGCCCTGCCGGGACCCCGAACCCTCCCGCCCCAGCCCCCTCACCTCCTCCCGCGCCAGCGCCGCCCCCCGGCACCGGGGCATCTTGGCGGCGAAGGCAGCGGCCCCGGCCGGGGAGCTGAGGTCCTCCGCGGTGACGGCCAGGAACTCGGCGACGCTGAGCTGCTCGGGCATTGCGGGCGCGGGGCGGGGGCGCCTGGGCTGCCGGAGAGGGGCGCGGGGGGCGCTCGCTGCACCGCGCTGGGCCGACCTCACCGCCGGCCGCGCGCGCCGTCCGGGCCTCCGCACGCCCCCCCCCCCCCCCCCCCCCCCCCCCCCCCCCCCCCCCCCCCCCCCCCC